AGTATCAATGGGAGCTTGGCCAGCAACCCAACATGAAGGCTACAGGAATTGCTGAGAGAACTCTGTACTGTCTACAGCGATTCACCAATGACTCTGCTCATCGTCTGGACGTTGCAAAGGCTCACCTCACTGCTCAGGCAGGAAGCGAAGTGAACCTGCCACTCGAGTACGGTTTCCAAAACCAAGTTGATCCATCTGTGATGAGCCCGCAGACACAGCGAGCGTTGGTCGATCAGACGGTGCTATTGGCAAAGTGCTACTTGCGACAAGGTGAGTGGCAGATTGCTCTCAACAAGGATGATTGGCAATACACCAAGATTCAGGACATTCTGGCCTCCTACTCCCAAGCAACCAAGTACAACCCCCGCTGGTACAAGGCCTGGCATGCCTGGGCGCTTGCCAACTTTGAGATTGTTCAGACCTTGTCCGCTAGGGGTGAAGGACAGCTATCAAGAGCAGACCAGACCATGATTATCGAACATGTTGTGCCAGCCATCCAAGGTTTCTTCAAGTCCATTGCGCTATCTGCCGGCAGCTCGCTTCAAGATACGCTGCGTCTATTGACGCTGTGGTTTACTCACGGAGGCAATTCAGATGTAAACACGTCTGTGACCGAGGGCTTTGCAAACGTCAGCATTGACACATGGCTGGAGGTGATACCTCAACTCATTGCTAGAATCAATCAGCCAAACAAGCGCGTGCAGCAGTCGGTACACAACCTGCTGGCTGACGTGGGTCGGGCTCACCCGCAGGCGTTGGTCTACCCACTTACCGTAGCCATGAAGTCGTGGCAGAATAGTCGACGGTCGAGGTCCGCAGCACAAATCATGGACAGCATGCGCCAGCACAGCGCCAACCTCGTTGCGCAAGCAGACACTGTTAGTCATGAGCTGATTCGAGTTGCGGTGCTCTGGCACGAACTCTGGCACGAGGGATTGGAAGAGGCATCGCGGTTGTACTTTGGCGACCACAACATCGAGGGCATGTTTGCGGCACTGGAACCTCTTCATGAACAGTTGGAGAGGGGCCCAGAGACTCTGAGGGAGATATCATTCGCACAAGCCTTTGGGCGCGATCTTAAGGAAGCCCAAGACTGGTGCCACCAATACGAGACGAGTCGGGACGTGAACGATCTCAACCAAGCATGGGACCTCTACTATCAAGTCTTCCGTCGCATCACAAGACAGCTGCCGCAGGTCACAAGCCTGGAACTTACGTACTGCTCCCCTAAACTGCTGAACGCGAAGAATCTCGATCTGGCTGTTCCGGGAACATACAAGAGTGGACAACCCATCGTGAGGATCATGTCCTTTGAATCAACCTTTACTGTCATCAACTCAAAGCAGAGGCCGAGAAAACTAAACGCTAACGGCAGTGATGGTGTTTCTTACGCCTTCCTACTCAAGGGCCATGAAGACATTCGACAGGATGAGCGTGTGATGCAGCTGTTTGGCCTTTGCAACACTCTCCTGGCAAATGATTCCGAATGCTACAAGAGACATCTAAACATCCAGCGCTATCCTGCCATTCCGCTCTCGCAGAACTCCGGATTGCTGGGATGGGTTCCGAATAGTGACACACTGCACGTCCTCATCCGCGAGTATCGCGAGAGTCGCAAGATTCTCCTCAACATTGAGCATCGAATCATGCTTCAGATGGCGCCGGACTACGACAACCTTACGCTCATGCAAAAGGTAGAAGTGTTTGGATATGCTCTGGATAACACAACAGGACAGGATCTTTACCGCGTTCTCTGGCTAAAGTCCAAGTCGTCGGAAGCTTGGTTGGAGAGGCGGACAAACTACACTCGTTCCTTGGGCGTCATGTCTATGGTGGGCTATATCTTGGGTCTGGGAGATCGCCACCCTTCGAATCTTATGCTCGACCGCGTCACTGGCAAGATTATTCATATTGACTTTGGCGACTGTTTTGAAGTTGCTACGAAGCGTGAAAAATATCCCGAGAGAGTGCCGTTCCGACTGACCCGCATGTTGACATATGCCATGGAGGTTAGCAACATTGAAGGAAGCTTTAGAATCACATGCGAACACGTAATGAGGGTCTTGCGAGACAACAAGGAGAGCGTAATGGCTGTGTTGGAAGCGGTAAGTTGATATCTACAAGGTCCTTGGCAAGTGGCTGCAAAACTAATTCACTGTTTCGTAGTTTATTCATGACCCTCTCCTCACTTGGAGACTCACCAATGCCGCCTCTCCGGCTGGGCCCAACTTCCGCTCCGAACGCGAGGTGGCGCTTGCAGGCCCCCACGCAATGCGAGCGCGACGACAGTCTATCCTGGATGCCGATGTTGCACCATCTGAGCTTATGGCAAATGTCGAATCTTCAGCACCCCCTATGGCTAGGAACAGGGCCCGCACAAACAGCTCAACGATACCAGAAGGTGCCCAGGCTAACGGCGCGGAAGAGAGAGAGAGCCAAAACGCCAGGGCGATTGAAGTGCTCGACCGGGTTTCACAGAAGCTTACTGGACGCGATTTTAAGCCTAACGAGGAACTGGATATCATTAACCAAGTGAACAAGCTCATTATCGAAGCTACCAAGTTGGAGAATCTGTGTCAGCACTATATCGGATGGTGCAGTTTCTGGTAGGCGAGGGGATTAAGCATATTAGGCGGGCCTTGGGAAATAGCGGAAGTATACAGCAAGCCGGATGTAGGAGTGGGCGTGTCTTGCAGGTGATTAGCAGCGCTTCAGCGACAGAACAGAGCCAAGGAGGGTTTGAATTCGGATATTTTGGCAGCGGGATCAGCAAAGGGGCGCACAAATTGTGTCCCCTCCTCTTCTTTCCTGCTTGACCCCTGATGGGAGTTTGGAAGGGAGGACAATGCTTTTGGCTATGGCAGTTGTTTGCGCGCCGGCCTGGGGTTATAATTTGTAATCGTCATGACGAGCGAGCAGGTTTATTATTTTGATTTAATGATGCATGAAGTTTTGAATCTTGGGTTGCCTCTCTTTTTCTTGTTGTATCTCGTGTATCCATTGTTTCTCGCTGTAGGTCGTCTAACTGCTTGATTCTCGTATGTCTTGTGTAGGAATAACAGGTCAGTTTTGATCATCTTTCAGGGTCTTTATTCGCTATATACAATACGTAACTTGTTACATCTATAGAGAGAGTAAGTTGAAGCAATCTTGTTTGTGTAATTAGGCAGTTTGACTAATACACGCCGCTTCTAGCTGGATGTTCTCACGCAGTTGATTTAAGTAAGCATGATTATATGCACAAGTCAGCAGCAACAAAGGAAGTCGTATTTCAGTTGTCCAACACACATTCCGTCGGAAAGCGCGGAATTAAATCCGTCTTCTTTCGAACTGAAGTGTGTCAGACTCTTGTCACTGTATGTCACCTTTTCTTACTTGTAATCAGAGCAACGTGTTTCCCTTGTTCCTTCTCTTGGCCTCTCTGAGGATTTCTTCTTACGAGGATTGGCACATGCTTTGGTGAGATTTATCCACTTGCTGGATTGCCTTTTTTATTTGTATTGCTTACTTCTTTTTTTTAATGTGTTGCTGTGATTGAGTAGTGTGAGGATGATAGGTTGGGCTGGTATAATGAAAGAGTGGAGAGGGAGAGGGTAATACTGGCTTTGCTTTTGTAGTTTTTTTCTTTTTCTCTTTTCTCCATCCTGTGGGGGATATTTAGTAAGATGAGATGGAGACGAAGGAGAAAAAAAACTCGGGAGAAGATTAGTGTAAGCGCGAGCGGGATCTGATTTTGTTGGGATATGAGAGAGTGTAAAGGTGTGCCCCTCCCTTTGGTTTGGATGGAATCGAACTTGTGGGTTACGGGATGAAGGAAAAAAAGAGTGGCTCTTTTTTTGGGTTTAGTGATTAGTTTCAAAGGGAAATTTGAAGAATAGAGATGGTTTCGTTGTTTTTGTGAGAAGGGGGAAGGGATGGATGGGGTTGATGGGATTATGGCTCTTGTTACTCGACGACTGTTGTCTTTTAATGACTTGGTGATAGTTGCTGATGAAAGAAGGCATGTTCGTCTGTGTTATTAGGTGGCATAATGTGTTTATAGATGGGTAGATGCATGGAAATCGCAATGTGACTCAAAGTTTGGGTGCGGAATGTCTCTGCAAAGACGACGTCTTACATCAGACGGCAGTAGGTGACGCTCTGCTGCGGTGACATGAATCATTACCACATTTGACTTTCTAACAGATAAAAAACGGTGAAAATTGAAAGAAAAAGCAGACCAACGTTGCTAGAAAAATTCTAGAAAAAAGACGCAAAAGGCTAAGATTGATGATCGACCCCTCCCCTTCAAAAAGGGGGTGGTTTGGTTAGTTTGCACTTTTGACATCTATCACACACATCCGTAACACCGGGTGAGAAAAGAGAGAGCCAATAGAGAAGCAACAGCGCCTCATTCCATCTTATTAGTGGCCAAAACCTCCTTTGTTGGACCGCCTGCTTACAGATACTGTGCGGGAACGGGATGTTGATGTGGTGAGGCGTCAAAACTTACCGACGACCACGCACGACTGCGGAGAGATTTGTCAACGGCGGTGATGCATGACTTTCAGGAGACGAAACAACAAAGATGACGGTCTTGAAGAGCTGAGAAAGTCGGACTGCGTGGAGACCCCGCCCCTGTGCATTTCAGCTTTGGGCTGGGGAACCAAGGAGATTCCATGCCAGGGGGGGATGATGTGGGCGTACACGCACCATTGGGCATGAATATATCATTACCTCGGATAAGGGGGATTGGAGCATCGGTTTTAGTACTGGTTACTGCTGACTTTTATTGTGGTTTTGTGTGCGGCACAACGCCCGCCAGAGTTAAGACTAGGAGAAAGATAATACAACGATAGTTACAAAAAGAGTAAAAGGTATCAGGAGTCAATTTAGAAGGAAAAGCCCTCCGTGTATCCGGGGTCAGCATTACGTTTGTTTCCCACACATCCCAGCTAGCAACTCGCTCTCGTGTATCTGCCCAATCACACCTCCCCTGAACATGATATGACGGCGGCGCACTATGTTGCCCTTTTGGGATTCCTCGCGGTAAACACCATGATCCTGCCGATGATCTGGATGTCCACCTCGCCAAAGTTCCGCCGTAAGCCCTCCTCGAACACGGTCCTGCTGTCCTTCCAGTTGTCGAATATGCCCTTGTCGTTGTAGATGGTCATGAGTCGTCTCGCAAGCCAGTTCATCGGCCTCTCCTCTCCCAAGATGGTTGTTCCCACCAGAACGCCGTTCTCGGAGACGTAGTCCTTCAACAGATCGAACACCTTGTTCTTCTTCTCAGGCGGCCCGGCAATGCAGTGTAGCAAGTAGAAGATGCTCACGGAGTCGAATGTGGCGCCTGTCGGCAGTGGCAGCGGTTCGGTCGCATCGGCCACGACGGTGTGTACTTTGATGCTCTTCTGTGAAGCAGTGATGCGAGAAGCCGCCAGGTTCAGCGTATTGGGGTTGAGGTCGACGAGTGTAATCTCTTTGCAGGAGGTTTGTGCCCTGACGGCGTTGGCAGGAAAGTATCCCGTGCCAACACCGACATCAAGATGTTTGGTTCCTAGAGCAGATTTGAAAAGGGGTAGTTGTACTTTTTCCGTCGAGCACTTCCACGCGTAGTTGTTTGATATGCTGAGAACTATCAGGTCGTATAGTCGTAGCAGGAAGGGGGTGTAAGTTGATGAGCCAGCATTCTGCGCTGGTAACTCTGCTTCACCCATGTTTGCAGAGACTATATAGAAGATGGAGAGGAGATGGAACAAAGAAGATGATGGAAGCTTCACAACCAAACTGCAGCAGACGATCCCAGAGGCTCACCACTCTGGAGGAAGAAGATAGATAACTAGAAAATGAATGAATGTAACGAAATGAAGAGGGAAGAAACGAAACTCTTATGGGGTCACGTTGGCCTGGGGGAATAAACGACTACAAGCTTTCCAACATAACATAAGAGTCTGTGCTTCCAAATGTGATTGAAGTAAAAAAGAAAAACTCCCCGAGGCCCATCGAATAAGCGACACGGGGCCGCGGGTCCTGTGGTTGCTTAAGAAGGAGAATGGCGAGAAGCCAAAAACTACACGGTAGACCTGATGCTATCAACCAAGCACTCGAGGCCTACTAGTATTCGTAATAGATCGGGCCCAGCGAACCAGCGATGGCCGGATGTGGGCTGCTCATGCTCGTACAGTACGGGACTTGAAATCAACTCTTCTTGCTCTTCCTATTTTGGCGGCACCTTTGTCAACCGGATCAACAACGGGCATCTCGGATGCCGGACGCTAACATCGTTGCTATAAATCCACCTGTCATGGTCTGATATCAGCTCGTGCTTGTGAGAACCGCCGTCCTGACCGACCCCATGTCCGTCTCCCCAAGCAGCTTTAAACAGCTAATCACCGACGTCGCACCTCAAACGGAGCCGAGAGTGCTAGGCTACCCGCGACCCAGGCTCGAGAACCGCAAGGTGACCCAATCAGGTAGGATTCTGCGCGACACGCGGAATCTTGCATCAACCTCAATGCGGTGAAGTCTCAGCCCTGGGGCTTCCAGACACCTCCGGGCACTAGGACTCAAATAGCCTGGCACTAGACACGAGGTCGAAGAAAGGATCCATAGACGGGCCCCGCCAAGCTTTGGGACAGCTTCAGCTTTGCGCCGCGCGCAGCCATTGACCAGTCCGCTTGTTCCTGGGCGTCACCGGTGCTTCAACCTCTGGGTCGTCGTCTCCCCCTTTGGTCCGTTCTGTCGACGTCTCCTGCCGCGGATTTTGACCTGACCACGCCTCAGTGTCGGTGTCAGTGTCAGTGTCAGCCTCTGCCTCTTGTTGGGGGTGTCGTCGTCGTCGGATCGGAAACATCATCGAAAACAATGTGGCGATATTCCGTGTAATCAATATTCCGTGTCACCCATCAGAGTTGGAGCCCACCATCTGACATACAGTACAGCGCCAGCCTCCCTTGGTCTGAAAAGAAGTGCCATCCTCGGCGCCGAACTAATACTGTAGATGGCGCGCAGTGGGTCGTAGAGCTCGTACGAGTGATTCGGCCTCGCATAAATTTCGTCCAATAGGGCATCAAGCGAATAAATGACTTGGCGGCCAAACCGATGTGTCGTCTGCAAAGGATATCCCTCTTTGAGTTTTCCACCAGCAATTGTCACATTTGGCTCGGCAGCGGTGATGCAGGTGCTACTAGTATCATTAACGACAAAGAGTCATCCTCGTCGTTGTCATCGTCATCATCATTCCGATTATCATTTGGCCTTTGGTGTAAACGTTTTTCTTCTAATTCCGTACTCCGAGATAGCTGTCGCCCGCTCGCAAACGAGGGTCGTCGCAACCGCTGCTCCATGCCTTACAGTGTCTGGGCCGTGTGTCGCCGCTCTACAATGCCCCAGGGTGTGCCGCTTTACAGTTCATCCTTTTCATGAGATTTCTTGACAGTGTCGTCCTCGCAGGCTGCCGGCGTTCCCACCTCCAGCTTGTAGACACACTTCTCGGCCTCGCTAACCCGCCAGATCTCTTCCGTCTCCGCGCATCCGAGCCAGACGTCGGTTCGTCTCTGAGGGCCGTTCCAGCACGTCTGGCCGTTCTCGTATCGCATTACCATCCTGGGACCGCTGCCCAGGCTCCTACCATCCACCCTGTCTTCCTCATCGGCAGTTGCAATGTCGATTCGCGCGTAGTTGCCCATGTTGGAGGAGGCATGTCCCTTCTTGGACTTTTGGAGAGTCTTGTCGAGCCAACAGAGCTCGTACGTATACTCACCGGCATCAATCTCAGCACATTTGCCCTGGATTGCGCGGAAAATGTCAGACGGCCCAAAATCCTTCTGGAGATCCGACTTCTCTTGCTCAAGTTCCCTAGTCTTCTGACTGAGCTCCTGCGCGGCTCCTTCGGCCGCCTCCCGAGCAGCCTTGACAGCACTCGATTCCGAACCATCGGTGGCAGGATCCGCCATCATGCCATTGGAAATGAGCCATTTACGAACAATCCTGATTTTGTCATGAAGCACATCGCGGATAAAGGGAGGGATGTAAGCATCGAAATCGTAGACTAAAAAAAAGATTCCAAAGTCAGCATCCCAACAAAAATGAGTTTGAAAATAAAGAGACAATGACGATAAGCTGATAGTGCTTACGAATGTCCGTGTCGCCTTGATGCTCTTCGAATGCTTTCCAGTTCACTCCGTTGGTCTCATCGTCCTCTTTGAGGATCTCGTTGATGTCGGACTCGAGGAACTCGGACTGGTCAGCGGAGGCTTCGCGGGCTGTCCAGTCTTCAAAAGACTTGATCGCAGCGCTGACTCCCTCATCCTTGGAGTTGGGGTCATGATCTTGCTTGAGCTGCGCGAGAATGGCTTCGAGCTCGTTCTTCTTGCCGCGCATGGTTTCGCGGTCCTCTGTGACCAGTCTGAGAGCCTCCCGCAACTCTTCAACTCTGTCCTTGGCGAGACCAACGAGGACACCGAGCTTACCGCCAGCACCGGCTTTACGTCGCACAATCTTACCTGCTTCTTCGTTTTGGACTCGAGCATACTCGCGTTCCAAGGCCTCCTTCTTGGCCTCGAGATCCTTGACGTCCTTTTCTAGAGCGACAACACGAGCCTCGGCTTGTTGACGAAGTTCCGATGCCTGCTTGATCATTTCCTGCTTCTTGACGATGGCCTTTGCGTGGGCCTTTTTTCTCTCTTCTGCCAGTCTCCGGTACTCCTTGCCTATGGCCGCACAGCGGTTCTCGCACTTGACACCATTGGCACTGCCGTTCTCGTCTGATCCATCGCAGCAGACATCGTAGTCGCAGATGCCATCGTTGACGAATGTAAACGGAATGTAGCCTCCGATGTGCCCCTTGTTGTTGCACCAGAATCCGGGCAGGGAGCGAGTGGTATTCGTAGTTCCAGAAGGGCTGCCATACAGGGGCTGCTCGGGGGAGAGAGGGTCGATGAAGGCACAGGCAGCAGTGCCGGGCTCGTCTGAGCCGTCTGGACAGTCGCAGGTGTTGTCATTGACACGATCCAGGCTGATGACGATGGAGGGGTTGGCGATGCAGGCAAACTCCTTGTTCTGGTAGTGGGAGATGACTAAAGACGGCACTTGAAATCAGCAATTGGACGTCAATTGGAATGAATTGGGCCCGAGTTGGCCACCTCACACCGGCATTCCATCTACAAGGCTCCCTCCCCAACTCAGCAGCACAACAGCAGCAACACAACTAACTTACACTCTGGTCCAACTCCGCGCGGCACGCTGCCAGCAGCAGCCACTGTAACTGTAAGAGAGCACACAGCGCCCAACAGCGCCAGACTCTTTGGGTGCTGCATCGCGGGCAAGTTGCAAAGGGGGTTGGATTGGTGTTGACTTGACACAAAAGGTGGCTTGTAGCGCCCGAGCTGTCCCCAACAAGTACATGTACGAGTAGACAAAGTGGCAGCTCTCCCCCACCGCCTTAGTGGAGTCCCTGCTATGGAAGCTCCTCCGGCAAAGCTCCGGCACAGCAAGCCCCCCGATAAGAATGTCCCACATCGCAGGGTTCCAGCAGCGATGCGACTTTGATAGGTGATATTCTAGGTACCCCTCCAGGGGAGAAAAAAAAAAGTTCAATCCGTCTGATACCACACGGATGGTTTGACAGCTCAGCCGCAAAAAACTTAATCCCACGTACATTCTCTTTTCCCTCCTCGTCTGATGGCTCCGGCTCCCGATGCTGCGGCTCTGGAGAGTCTCGAGACCCTCGTCAAGACCGCAGGGGCCCTTCTGAAGCAGCTCCAGGACGTGCTGGGGGAAATCCGAAACAGCCCAGATGCCGTCTCGACGCCGGCAACTTCGTCAACGTCGACAGCGCCTCTCGATGCCCTCGCTCTGGCCCGTGACTCTGCCACTCTGATCAAGGCCCATGCAACCAAAGTCTCGCTGCTCATCATAAACAAGCCCTTCACTCCAAGCGCAATCTCGTCCGTGGTCCGCGAGCTCGTCACCGGCCCTGTCCCCGGCCTTGCGGCTTCCGTCCAGGCTTGCGATTCAAACGGATACACTCTCACATTCCGGCGCGAGCTGGCATGGAGGTGTCAGCGCGTCTTGTCGGAACTGGCCGATCTCCTGCAGAAGGTCCCCAAGGATGGGAGAGTCTTGGCAAAGGAAAACGAAGGGTTTGGTGCTTCGGGCAAAGGCAGCATTGCGTCGACGGGTGTCCTCTGGGCTTCCTGCGACAAGGTCATTAGCCTTGCTAATGGCGGTGTCAGTGGATATTTTGTGGAAAAGATGAACGAGTGCAAAGACACGCTCACCGACATCGCGGAAGAGATGAAGGAATGGGGCGACGAGGAACCTGATGAAGACGACAACGACGACGGCGACGAAGATGATGATGTTGATGATCTTGCAGACCAAGTCGGGTCCGCCCACATATCAACCCAACACATTCTCGACGACCTTATGAACTCGCACCGAACCATCCCCGCCTCCGACCCTGACGGCATCCGGCCCCGTCTCGAATCGTCACTCCGCCGCCTGCGTCTCGTCATCCTCCTATACCAAGCCATCACCAAGCGCCGCATGAAGAGACTCCCGCCCCTGCCGCAGAGCAACGCTGGAGACAAAGTTCCGCGCCGACTAGACGAGCTTGCTACTCTGCTGCAGAAGCTCCCCAATAGTTTTGGGGACTTGGCGTGTGCGTTTTACGAGCTGCGGCCTAGGGAGATTGACGATGCCATGGACCAGTGCTTCCTCGATGCGTTTGCCGTGAGCGAGCTGCTGAGTGAGAGCTGGGACGGTTCAAGAGACGAGTTTACGGAGTGGACAGAAAAGTTTCAGAAGGAGATTAAAAGAATATAGCATAAAACGAACGAGAATTTCCATCAACCGCCAACACACATCATCACCAATGCTGTTGATCCATTCCACCCAAGGTTATATCCCTTCGCCCACGCATTTTGTATTTTCCTGTTCCTTATTTCCCCCTAATAATTCTTTCCCATAGCCTGCCCGACAAATCCATCAAACTAACCAACCAATCCACCCACGTCCATGTCTCCCGCCTCCCCAAGAGTGGAATACTTCCCGCAATGTCAACAACCTGATATTTCGAAGCCATGTCCAACAATCTCTGACACCACAAAAGGACTTGTTGAAAAGTGAATTCAGCAAAACACATTGTATGCTTGACAGCTTCTTTATATATGTTTCCACCGTCTAGCAAACACGTCAAATACCCAGATAGGAACAAATGAAATGCGCCACCTCCCGCCCGCCATGTCTCGCATCTCCCAGCCTTTCCAAAAGCGGCAATAACTTCGCGCAGCAAGAGAACCGACACAACATGTGTATATTCAAAATAGGTGGCGGCTGGAAACATGGCCTGTGATTGATGACGTTGACACTTACGACTTGAACATGCAGAGTCGCTCATTTGATTCAAAGCGATATTCAACAAAGAAAAGGGATCAAGGGGAGACGGTCATCTTGTGATTTGAGTCTATTCATTGCATAATGTTCAACAATCGCTGAGTACATACATCCGCTTTACATACTTGTCACATATACTACACGTCAAATAGTTTCAACTGCGGGCTCCCTGTATCGTTGCCGTCCTGGTCCACAGAAAAATTCCCTTTACTCCTTGAAAGAAAAAAGAAGAAGAAGGAGAGAGAAAGTTGAATGAGAATCCTCCCCTGCTGCAACAAGCCTAACCTCGCCCCGTGGCATCATAATCATCACGCTAATCGGCATCGCGGCAACCTCTCTCCGTTCCTCAATGTAAAGCCTGAGTAGTTGAATGATGCTCGGACACATGGGACTCCCCTAGGCGCTTATCCTCTGGTCCACCATCTTCAACGATTGGGGTCTCCGGGGTAATGGTCAACTCCGGTGTGTCGAGAAAAGGCGGTGCGTTCCGTGAGGCCTCGCTGGTACTGAAAACCGTGTCGTTGCTCATGCCCGATGTTTCGATTTTGAGAGCTCTCTCAACATGCTCGACGTTGCCCTCCTCCTCCTTCTCCTCCTCCGGGACCTGAGAAAGCGGACGGGCTGAGCCGTCACCCAGCTCCGCTTGCTGTGTCGACGATCCATCCTCAAGGTTAACTCCGACAATCTCAGCTAGGCTGCTGAAATTGAACATGGGCTCACTCTCTGTCTCGCCGTCGCCGCTGTCACTGCGATTGCCCATGCTGCGTCTCTTGGCTGCATCCGAGTTACCGAGCCCCTGCTCAGTGAGGCTGCCCGATGGGCTGTCTCCCACCGACGAGCCGAGTGAGGATGCGTTGCTCATTTGCCGCAAATGGGATCCTCCACGGCTGGGAGGTGTAGGAATAGGGAGCGACGCTGTGGAGGTTGTTTCTGTTGCACCTGGCTGAGGCTCGCGTTCAACCCCTTTACCCTTGTCGCTAGGGCTCTCCGCTTTTGTCTGTTGACTTGGAGGATCCGCCGCTCTGCTCGACTGTGAGGCCGATGGTGAACCCGACTGCAGAGTGAGTTCAAGCCGCAAGTTGCTGGCTGCACTATTTCCTCGCTTGCGGCCGAGACCCAAGGAAAGGCTGCTTCCGCTGGCTCCGCTGATGCCGCCCGCATAAGGATCTTTGGCTTGTTTTTTAAGAGCTTTACGCTCCGCCTTTTCACGTTCCTTTTCCCGCTTCTTGGCATCCTTCTGAAGAGCCTTTTCCACCTTGCGTTTCCGATCTTCCTCCGCCGCGAGTGACAGGCGAATCGCTTCCATGAACATCATTTCCTCAAGCTCCTCCATTCGAGTGCGGCGCGTGCCATCCGGATTCAGGCTCGAACTTCGTTCAGTGGGCTCCTGACCTTCTGCCGTATCGGTTGCACCACCGCTGTGTCCTCCGGGAGTGGTGGTGCCGCCGCTGTTTGTGCTCGTATTCCTCCGGCTAAACCTGCTCGTGCGTATCCTTGGCCGAGACTCATTGCCTCCTATCAAAAAGGCTGCGGTGTGGAGAGCGGTGGCTGCAGCGGCGCGGCGCGCTTGGTGAGCACGCGCGGTGGCCAGCTTCGTAGCCCAATCCGGTCGGACACGGTCAGTAGTGATGACGTTGGGTGCATTGGCCGACAGACTATGTGCCCTTCTCCGTCCTGCTACAGGAGCAGGCGCCAATGTAGAGTTGAGTGAGCTCTGAGAAGACATGGCAGTGTTTGATGCTATGTTGGACGAAGAAAAGGCCAGCCCGCGTCGGAATGGAGGCGGTTCGTATGTGACGCCGAACTCGGGTTGTTGGCAATAGGGGCATGCTGAGGGCTCTGATATTAGCATTTCGGGGGGGTCTTCCGCAGAGAGGCCTTCGTTTGGATCTCGCGCTTGGCCATCGGGGTGGTGCTCGGGAAGGTGTGGATCGGCTCGCTTGATCTGTACAAAGCATTCGCTACATATCGGCTGGTCACAGCATCGTGTATGGTTGAGATAAGGAGGGTATGTTAAGAAACAAATAGGACATTCGGTGGCATCCTTGTAAAGAAAAACCTCAATCGGCTGGCCATTGACAAATGGGTCATGGGGGAGGTTGATCTCCTTGGGTGTCAAGTCAGTCGAAGACGTATTCCGAGAGCCCACACTCAAGGCTGCCGCCAGTGCTCTCGCCCTTGGCTTTATTGATCCCCTTGAGGGGAGGGCCGTCGACGGGGAGGGCAACGCGGAGCCACTGCCTGACCCGCTACGATCCGAAGCAGTTGAGAGAGTCCTGGGTCCCATCTCCACCGTCAAACTGCTCAGATTCTGTGTAGGAAGAGAGTCAGGCGGCGGCGGCAGGCGAGGTATCAAATCAGGGTCAGGAGGCGCATCGGCCGCGGGGATAGGTAGGCCACGGGCCGCCGCAATAAGCTGGTGCTCAGCCCAGTTGTCAGACCAGTCATTGAGGCCACGCCAAAAGGGGGCCATTTTTCGCTCAATCTAGTGATTCCAAGTTAGAGAGGCCAGTAACAGTGCTCGGCCTGGAGAGCAGCAACGCACCTGCAGCTGTCTGACAACAACCTTGTTGAAATCCTCAGTCCCGACATAGGTTCCCATGGTGACAAGATAACCTCCGTCAACGTGTTCCTCTCGTATACTCCGTTCGCGGTCTTGAGCTCTTTGGATTCGCTCACGTTCAAGCTTCCGTGCTTCTCGCTCCTGCTTTGTCTCGCGATGTTCGAACGGGGCATCTGGGCGATCTCTACTTCGGGACCCAGAGGTTGCTCCTAGGCTAAGAAAGCCTCGCTCCGATCTCACTAGCTGGAGACGTGGATCGCCCAAGACACCACGAGAGGAATCTCCCATGTCAAACCGCCGCCCCCGGCCATCCTCGGGATAATCGGAGCGAGATTCCTTTGTGTTTGTATTGCCCATTGTGAAAATGCAAAAGATGCGCAACGAAATGAAGAAGAAATCCGGAAGATGAAAAGATGACGGAGAAGGAAAAAAAAAAAGAGGAAATCAAACGATAGCGGCCGAGGGGAGTACGATGCTTAGAAGGGAGTCTCAAGCAAGGATCGGCGGGTTGGTTGAGATATGAGTTGGTCCTACGTTAATCTCAACAGGGGACTCGCAAGTCGTCTATCCAGACCTGATGCGCCGATTATCGAGAGCCCGGCGCAGAGATGCTCCAGGGTCATGCGCCTAGTAGAGGAGGCACGCGAGAGAGGAGCCAAGAGACGAATGCCTCGCTTTCCTTGCGATCCGCCACAGGAACCGGCGACTCAACAGGAACTGCTTCAGACTGCTGTAGGAAGCAGGTGTTGCATAGTGGTGTCTGCGATCGACGCCTCTGACGGGCAGCCAGTTGCTATACCGAGCGCTTTATTCGTCGGGCGACTCGAAGATGGCGGGTGGCAAAGGAGGAGCTTTCGCAGGTCAATAGACTTGCCCCAAGCAGCAGCAGCTTCGATCTGGACCGCCTTAGTGGCCGGATATTGGCTTGGCGACGCACTGCCGGGGAGAGAAGCAAAAAGCGCAGATGCAAAGGGCTGAGAAGGAGGCCGTGGATGAGGCGGTCGGGATGCGACGCGATGCAATGCGAACGCAAGTTCGTGATAGTTGCGTGCCCGGGAAATGCGAGGCTGGTCTGGATTATGGATGTTGAAAGCGGGACAACGATAACGGTCAGCGTGGGCAGAATCACCTCCCCCACCTTGGAACGATGCAAATATGGGGAGCTGTCCACAAGTACCCGGGCCAGGGGAGGTACATGTACCTACAAACCCGGGCGGTTGAGCCTGTGAGTGGCCGCCACAGCGTTCCAGAGCGTACATGTATTCCGTGGCCGCTTGTTGGTAGCTGGGCTACAGCGGGCTGCAGTGCTGGATACTAGGTACGCAGCATCCAATCCACGGGCAATCCATTGAATTGGATTCAGTCCCAGATTCAATCCCTTCAGCCTCAACCAACGTCTACATACAAAGCAAATCTGGAGGCCGTTAAACTGGCTCTAGCCCATCTTGGATTGATCACGGCCTTCTATACGCATTGCTTCCATCAGATACGATGCGGTCTGATTGCGCCTCTCCCATGCTCACCGCAGCTGGTCTTAGTACTTCCTACTGGATTCTCCCAGCGGCCATCCCAATTACCCGGTCAGCGTGCAAAAGTATCTCGCTGCCGTCAGGTACTTTCGGGACAGCCGGACTCAAGTCCACTCGTACGCGTAGGTGCTAAGCCCAGGACATGTGCCCTGCTAAGAGCCCGTAGCCGTACTAAAAGCAGCACGCAGGCCTAGAATCAAGCGCCGTTTGTTTGTTTGTTTGCTTGCTTCATTTCCCGGATCTGGGATGATGGGCTTGATAACATAATCGTTGGGCTGCTTATTGCTTACCTCGAGATTGATTAGAATGCAGCCGTGCGTCCTTTGTTCCGTAAAGCTGCCCAATACCCCAAGCTGTGCTCGAATGGCAGTGCAGCCGACTTTTGTTCGTCTGCACTCGGTACCTGATTTTCCGAGGTTCTCAACGCCCGTACAAAGTACTAACCTCCTCCACAGCAACCTCGGAACCGGACTTTTGTCTTTGCTTCCAAATCCGTCCAAACTCCAGATCGTTAGCCAGCAATCCTCCCATTACTCGTATTCTGCCAGTGTCATCTTCTTCCTCTGTTGCTTCTGCTTTTGCCTCTTCGAGGGCCTATGGGTGTCGTCCGTGGGCATTGCAAAAGACGGCCCGGTGCTGCACAACAATTTTTTTTTTTTTGCTTGGGGTTGGCCTCATTATGAGATCATTGATCGGCACTCCGGCGAATCAACGTCATCAAAACACATGTGAAGTGTGCTGCTTGGCTCCGATCCCGCTGTTGGAGCCATTTAGCCGGCAGCAACGAAATTGAAACTAGCTCTAGATTCATGCTGGTCTGCAAGGGCGAAACAATGAAATGATTATTGTAAATTCCAAGGCGAGTCTATATGCTAAGCTAACTTGGTCGATTCTTTGTGTATGTAGGGCAACAATGTCCGGGGTATCTTTGACCAACGCAATGCCATGCAATATATGATACAGCAGCTCTCAACCATCTAATCTATGCCATGATTCCATCACCCGTCTACTTTCTAGGCGCCCATGCCTGCAGCCAGTCTCTCGTCTTATCTAGATTGGCCTTTTCGTATTCAGCGGCGGCAACACACCACTCAAGCTCCCAAGCCTTTTCGGCCGCCACCATCTCTACCAGTTTGCGGCCCGTCTGGCTTGCTTCGTCAACGCAAAAGTAGCATGGTTGCGAGGCGTCAAGTGCTCCTGGAAGAAACGGCTTAACGAGAGGAAGTGCCGCTGCGGCGGACGATCCCTTGGCTTCGAGGCCAGTGTTTGATCGTCCGGTCTTGCACCACTCATTTGCGCAGTGTGATTTCCCGCATCCTGCCATCAGTTGACTGAGATATCTTCTCTCGATTCTTCGTCGTAGAGCTTTGCCATCAGGGTCATGCATGCTAACGTACAAGGGCCCATAACATAAGGAGCAGAGGCCAATGTCATTGCCTGGGGCTCTGACTTGAGAGCCCGCCGTGCCGATCTGCCCCTTCGACCCAACACCGTACAGTGTTCGTCCGCAGTTGACATTCCGGCATACCGAGGGCTTGGATCGGCTCACCTTGTCGAGTTCGTGGTGCTTTAGGTGGGTTTCCATGTCTCGGAGACGAATTATTTTGTCACACAGGTGGCACTCCGTAGTACGGGCCCCATCTGCCAGCTCGTGAGCTGTCATTCCCGAGAGGACAACCTCAGGTGACGGGTTGAAGGGATCGCCTTCTTGAGGAACTTCAAGATGGCAAAATCGGCAAAGGATAATTTTGCCGGGGCAAACGCTTGTGCGGTGGCGTGCTAGGTCTGAGAGTGAATTGGTTGAGAATTCACAAGCCGGACAATTGCGGTCAGTGTGAAATACATGGTCGTGTTTGGCTTTGCCAAAGGTCGAATCCCCATGAGCCTCGTCGTGGCTGCAGTGCCAGTGGGCGTCATATTCGGGCGAGCCTTTTTTGAAGACCGACTTGCAAATAGGGCAGAGAATGTTGTTCCTCAGACAGAAATTTTGGTGAAGGACCATGGTCCGCTTTGGAACCCATTGCAAGCAGTTGGAACATTGTTCCTCATCTGCGGAATGTTCCGCGTGGTCGAGCCCCATGGATTCATCGGCAGATTTTTCCTTCAGAGAAGCCGTCTTCGCTCGAATAGTGTAAGTGTAGGGGGGTGTGTTGGTCGGAGCCGTACCAGAGCCAGCACCCTGGTAAGCGTGAATTGATATCAGGAGGCTCTCGGCATCTTCAAGCTCGACATTGGTTGGTGAAATCGTGATGGACTTGATGCCATGCTGAGCCGGTGAGAAATCCCCAAAGACATGAGCTGAGTCTCGTGGCAGCGCCCTCTGCTGGCGCGATTTCGGCGTGATGAATAAATCCAAACTATCCGCATCGGAGATTCCACTTAGAGAGATGGCCAGATCCTGTGATCGATCCCATGATGGAAGCGTATAATCGACATACTGACCAGGCACTACTTGCCCTTCCGTGTCTTTCCAGATGCTCAACTCACCGCCCTGAGAACTACCAGAAGAAGTGCCCGATTGCCCTTTTGCAATGATCTGGCGCATTGTCTCTCGAGCTTGCTCTTCGTTCAGAGCTTCAATGTCAACCTCCAAATCCGTATCGATGACGCAGATGCCGTCACCATCCGGCGCAAACTTATCCACCAATAGCTTGAAATTTTCTCCTTGCGAGCCTGAAACGGGAATGACCGTGTTCTTTGTCAACGTTGTAAAGTTTTGGCGAAGCTGACGTTCCAACAATGGTTTCCAGTCGTCGGGATCATACCCGGCTTCGAGGGGTCGCAGCCGTACATAGGTTCCTTTGTGAAGCTCTGCAGCATGTACCGTTATCCGGCTGCTCTCTGGGGCAGCATTTTTGCTCTCCAAGTTCTCAGGGTCCTCGATATCTATGACATCGGGGGTCGTTGGCACGAAATCATCGGAGCCGATGGCCAAAGCCTCGAGGAGTAGTGAACTCAGCCCGATGGTCCCCTCTGGCGCAGAAAACTCTCTGATGCCGGCATACACCACATTGTGGTTCTTCGGGTTGACAAGACGGAAAATAAGAGGATTTGGAAGCTGCTGCGTCTCTTGTCCGTACGACTGGTTGCTCAGATAGCTGGAGCCGAAGTAACCGTTGCTGCCATTGGCGGATGCCGTTGCTGCTTGGGAAGACGAAGCCGAGAGCAGTTTCTGGAGGGCAGAAGGAGGGAGGATAATCTTGTCCCCCGGAAGCTTGCTGCAGATTGGATCGGAGGGGGGGAGTATGGCGAACGAGTCTGACCACCGAAGAGAGATGGGCTCGTCCATGCTGGGTTGATCTTATGCTACGCCTAAACACAGCTCTTTGTTATACCGGTAGGAGAAGATGATGGAGAGTTTCCGGGGAGAAGGACGCAGCCAGAAAGCCACAGTTGCACGGAGGTTGATCAATACAAATACAAATAACTTCCATTTCTCAGTTGCCGCAATATCAAGGATTAACAATAGATGTCTGGATTACCTACGCCATTGCGAAGGCGACAGCTGGAAGACGCGGCAGAAACGCCTAGAGGGGCAATTGCGATAAGTCAGCATTCCGTGCAATTCTACGGAGTACGAAGCACGGCGCTTTGGTGTTGTGCAGTATCAGGTAAGCGCACGTGCATATTCACGTGATTGTACACGTGAATTTCTGTGACTTCTCCATGACCGGTCATTCACAATGGCAATACAACCCGTCAAGCATCATGGCCTTTCAAATGTCAGTTCAGTACTACAGACGCACTCGAAATAGTTGCAGCTCGAGGTGCCGTCGAGTCTCGTCGTTGCTTACTAACAGCAATGAGTTGAGGAGAAGCTTCTGCATGTTCAAGGTGCCAGCCAAGCTGCCCCGCAAAACGAAGCTGCCGCCGTGCGACCAAAACTCTCCCCCACGCCGAGAGATCTTGCTCATCAGTTCGGATGCTGGACGGCAGAGCTCCGCCGTTCCGGTGCATGCAGACCCTTGAGATGAAACCAAAGTGGCAGCAAAGAGGGGGCTGGACAAGCTCGTGGGCGGAGTCTGTCATGGCACGCGGATAATAGCCAGCCAGCCAGCAAAGCGAATGCCATTCAAAGGAACCACGATTGCAGTTTTCCAGTTGTCCAAACACATGGGACCTGTCAACAGTGCTTTTGCTTTGTTCCTCTGAAGGCACCCCGCACACCACACTGCAAGTCTCTGGCCGAAGCATACGATACAGTACAAGGGCTCATGCTGTTCTTGATTGTCTTGGTCTTCTTCCATGGACAAGGGGGGGGCCATTTGGGATTTTGTGGGGTAACGGCGGTTGGGTGGTGAGAGCTGTTCTGGTCGAAGCTTGAGAGTGTGAATCGTTGCCTTCTCTGATTCGTCTCCCAAGATCCAGCCAGATTATGCCACCTCGCGCATGGTGGGAGCTCCCAAAGATGACGAATCTCTAGGGACGTTACATACCTACCGAGAGTGCTACATAAACGCATTACGTCTTGGCCGCCCATTCGCCACACACAGTCCCTCCATCTCAGCCGATGATCCATATCCGCAGGAATTGACCAACTCCTCTGTTATTTCATCAGATGGAGGTTGCTTCGGTCCTTCGGCGCTTCTCCTCTTAGGCTCACCTCGCCCCGCGCCTGGGCCAGTTCGGTCGACGCAGCCGCCGCTGGCGCTGCTGAAATACCACCACGGAACTCACCTACAAGCTGCCGTTGGGACAAGGCCCCCCATCTGGCTGTACGGCGCCCCCCAATCTCCCGTGCGTTGGGATTGGCCACCCATGGCCTGATAAGGTGAAGGTGTGGTCTTAGTCCAAGATTGCCCTGTCTTAGCCAAGCTAGCCATGGCCCAGACGCCGAGAAAGTCTATACTCCATGTGGCAGTAGTTATTGCGTCTCTCTCAACAGGCGGTTCAAGGCTTCGGCCACGTCTCGCTCCATGCACGAGTAAGGACCAGACCGCCCAGTCTGACTGGCGGCAGCTGTGCCTCATCAGAGCATTTCTGCCGTGTAATCTGAGATTGTCTCACTGCTTATAAACAAGGTTGTACCAACGTATAGCACGTGTGCCCGCCGTGTACGAGTACAAGCGGCCTAATCGAGGTGAGGAGGTGCTTTGTACTTGTGTCCACGGATTAGGTAGGGCATCCGTTCTGGGTAACCACCAAGTGCATATATCACTGGCCTCCCGTCTGTCAAACTCTCAACTCCCACGTTATTCCCACTCTCCATCCATCCTGATTTTTATCTGCTTGGTGAGAAGAGCGTTGAGCGCCAGTCTCTCATTACTTTCACAAGACTCTAAGCTTTTCAGCCACTTTCTCTTTCACCCTAGACCATAAACTTAGCTACACGGGAGCTTCTCCAATTCCTTCCCCACCTAGCATCTGCATATCATACCATCACATCTTCCTTCATCTTTCTTCGTGCTGGCTTCACCTGGCCGCAAGCTCACGGCTTTACCTCGCCTGCGACGAATCCCCATCGCCCGCGAAGTTTCTCGTTTTCAAGGTCCAGGTAGCCTGACATGAGCTTAGCTACCGTCGACGACCCAACGCGCGAAGAGCTCCAACTACTGGCGACATCGGAGACGGAGGAATTAGCCACTACCCTCTATGACACCATTCACAATTCTCTCATCTTGAGACACATTATCCCCTATTTGCCCGTATCGAGTGTATTGAGCCTCTCTGCTACAAGCCGAGCTTTCCGAGCCCTCATCCGAGAGACCCCAGGAGTGTTCCGCCATCTTGATTTATCTCACATCAAGGCAGTCCAGTTTGAGATTGACAAGATCGATCATGGAGGCGAGGTCTGGCGCAATGTTCAGCTAGATGAGAACCTCTCCGAGGATGAGTGAGTGCATGACGGTTCCCTGCATCATGTCATGTCATGCGATGCTAAGCTCACTTTTTTCCCACAGCTTCTACTCCGGCCCGTTGAGGGGCATCTTCTCAACCCTTCGGCGACAGAACATCCTACAGAATGTTCAGACGCTGGTTCTTGACGGGCTCTCCGTGACGTCGGAGCTCTGCCATGAAATTATCAATGATGCCAGCTTCAACGTTCGCGTCTTGTCCATTCGTGACGTCAAGAACCTGAACCACGGCAAGCTTCGCCAAACACTTCAGTATGCTTGTCGCCCAACCCGGCGAGCTGGCTCTCCCAGTCTCAAGGCGCTCTACGTCCTCGGCCCCAGGGACGTGTTGGCTGCTGCACAGCAACCCGATTCACCCGGAGCGTCTGTTAGTGCAGAGTGGAACCAAAAGAGCAAGGTGGCTCTGGCATCCTCGCTGCAGAACCAAGGCGATTCTTGGTGGAACAAGAAGGGCCGCATCCTGCCTCGATCTGTCAGCCAGGAGTGGGCCAACTGCATGCTCGCCTGTCAGGGCCTCATAGCCTTCGATGCCGTTCTCTGCCATGGGCCACGACACCGCAACTCACCGGCTTACAAGGGCGGATCGGATCTTGATAGCGCTCCCGCTGTGGCTACACATGCTCTCCTTGGCTGTGAGAGCTGCCACGACGCTCCCGAAGGCCTCACACGTCCGAACAGTGGCGCAGTCGCCAACTTACCGCTGCTGGCACCGCTGCCTCTCTTTTCCTCGGCCCTTAGGGCGGCGGTCAACCCCAGAGAGCCATATAGCTCTTTTGTGCCCAGATGTATGGACTGTATCCGCGAGCGATATTGCACTAATTGCGACAAATGGTGGTGCGAATCATGCTATGTGCTTCCAGGCCAGAGTTTCGGGGGCCATTTTGAGACACAGGTCACCATTGTTGACGGCGACGATGCGGTCAATGATTTTGAGGAATTCGATTTCGCAACTCCGGGCATGAAAAAGGTACGAAGTGGTCTCTGTCATTCATGTATACTCAATCCTGGAAGGGGAATCGTAGTGGAATTCTAAATCCTGCGACATAACGAGCCGGGGATGGAGTAGACCAGCCGATTCAGGCCAGTCTCGAAGACAGACCTCTCGAATTTGTACGCAGCGTTTGCCCCAACCCCAGTCCCCCTTGGCGTTACAGCTGCAGCTGCAGAGGAGATGGAGGCATCATCATCATCACAAACGCAATGTTTCACCTTGAGAAATGTCCCGCTAATGGTTGACTGCGTAGCCACGAGTGTCGAGGAGCTGCTGGGAATGCGGCAACAATGTGAGCATTACATTACCCCCTGCTTCTCTCCGTGATCATGCTATGCTTTCTATATTAGAGAGAAAACTAATGTAGAAAAAACCGCAGTGCGATGATTGCATTAACATTACCCAGAGGGTGTGCAAAAAGTGCTGCGCTGGATACTGCACGACTCATAATGAGGGATGTTCGATGGACCATGTAAGTTCCCACACCAGATTGACAAGTGAAGACACGGATTGCTAACGCAACAAGCAACAGTGCGATTGTAAAGCTCACCCCCCTCTCGAACCTGATATAACCCGGCTATAAAGTGTGAAAGCGCTAACCAGTCATTCAGGGTGTGTGTCCCGGGGTCGAGGCCTGGGCCGTCTTTGGTCAACATGAGCCGATCTTCTCCTCTCTCCTCCGGATTTTTCTTTCTTAATGCCATGATATCAATGGAACCTCCCCTCTAACCTTTTGGGCACATGACTCCCAACTTATGACGGCGTATGGATCATAATGAGCGACTCTTCCTTTCATCTTTACAAGCCACATTCACCCGCATACATAGTCCGGCACCATGACCTCCCGATAACAGCGCCATGCATACAGTCAACTAGAGTGAATGCCGAGACGCCGAAACCCGCCGAAAAAGCACGGAACCATGAACGCATCATATCATTTGTTCTTTATGATTAAGGTTCAATGGACATGTCTGATTGCTCCGCATAATAGCGATTTGATGGGAAATGTCGGCTGGGTGGGACTTGGTATGATGATGATGGGCTTTGTTCTTTGGGTGCACTTTAGCCTAGCCTTTTGAAATCGAACCAAGTGACTGCTCCTCTTGCTTGCACATCCCATCTCCTCTTCTTCTGGCAATAGCGCTCATGTTCGTTCTGCTGCCTGAGAGACTGCAAGGGAAACTCGCCCCTGTATAACTTGACCGTCTAGCTTGGCAGTATCGTGATTTGACTTGTTCGCCGAGACAGAACTGGCATATGTTCTTGGCGAAAATTCCCACATAATCGTTTCGATCGGAAGCTCGCTGGTAGGTGAGGATAAAAACTTGGCGGGAAGCGTTTCTGGCGCATTGCAACAATATTCTATCCTGGCTTGGGTGTGAATTGGAATGCTTGGCGTGTTTTGTGACGAGACAAGATGTTCTCTTGGCACTCACACAGCCGCCGCACTTGTCTAATCATGGGAACAAGTCGTGCATGTCCATCCCACGCATCTCACATGTAGCTTTCTGTTGTCAAGTATAAACGCCAGGCATCAGAGACACTGCGGCACCCAAGCCAAGGCTGGGCTCTCTCGCCCTTGTTCAGGATGTCAAGAGACCTGTCGAGAATCTGCGGGCTATCCATGCGCTGCCATGCTCCTCGTACTCCTGTTTCGTGACGGCTACTTTGTCGATGTTCGGGTGGTTCGCCATGTTGGCTGCTCCGTACCAGGTGTTGGTGATGGGGTCGGCAGGGCGAGCGACGCGAACTATGCAATCGTCGGGCACAAGCTGCACCAGCTCCTTTTGCAAGCGCTGGATGAAGCCGTCGAACAAGGAGCTGCCGCCCACCACGACAATGTTGGCGAGAAGCCCCGGCCAGAGGCCGATGGGGAGCTCGTGGAGAGACTGCTGGATGGCATCTGCAAGGCCGGGCTGCCGCATGCCCACGTCTGACGGGCGGAAGATGAGCTCAGGGACGGCGAAGCGTTCGTTTCGGAGCGTCAAGACGTCTTCCTCCGATTCGCCCATGGCGGCGAGCTTTTTGGATTTCGTGTGCTGCGCCGGATCGTATTCGCGGAGGATGCCCTTGTGCCGGGTGTGGAAGTCCGGCAGGACGTAATCCTTGACGATGCCGGCCCCGGACAGGTAATCCTGGCGCTTCTCTCCCCTGGTTCCTTTCCACGTGCGCTCCAGGTCGGCCTTGAAGTCGGCGGAGACGTAGCACGACGCCTCCTTCATCTCGTTGACAATGTACAGATCGTTGCGCATGTCGAAGTGGCGCAGGGAGATGAGGCGGGCCATGTAGTTTGTCAGAAACTTGCCGCCAATGTCGATTCTCCGGATGGCCGAGTGGAGGGGTCGCCCGCCGAGGAGAGGGGTGATGGTTGTGTGGGAGAAGCCGGAGTCGACGACCAGCATGATTTCGGCTGGCGTGTTTGCGGCTGTGAGGGCGTCTTTTGGCGTGCGGAACAGGCTCTGCAGGTCGTGATAGGCATTGAATGATGATCCTGGGGGGAGGAGAAGCGCACATGTTAGTAGCCGTCACTCTGCTTCTTTTGAATAGACGCACCAATCCCTCTGTAGTAGCTCGAGAAGCCGTATTCCTCAAAGACAATCTGGTCGCAGTTGGCCTGCAGCACGGGCAGCGTGTTCGGCTGCTCCGTGAGCATCAGCCTCGTCTCGCCGGGATCGCATTTCAGCTCTGCCTTGTCGCCAAACAGCTCCTGGTCCCAAATCTCCTTCTGCGCCTCCCAGTTGACCAGGTAGCCCTTTTCCACGGGCCGCCGGAACTGGATCTCGCTGAAATCGCGGCACTTTTCGAGCTCGGCGCCCACGTAAATCTTCCTGGAGCGGTCGCGCGCGATGCAGTTGGGGATCACGCGAGGCTCGGGAATCGAGCCGCCGCAGACGAGGCCGGCCTTGAGCGTCCAGGCGCCATTGTCGATGACGAGCGTGTTTTGGGGACGAGCCGGAGCTGCGGCCTTGGACTTGCGACCTCCCGCCATACGGAGGACGAGAGAGGAGAACAAGTCGAGGTTCGCGAAAAGTCGGAACAGAGGTTCGGGTTATGGTGGTGGGAAAGTTGCGAGACCTCGGATACAAATCGTTGGTTCCGAAAATTACATAATAAGCCTACCCTAGAGCTGTGTGGAGATTGAGAAAATGAGCATGTCGAGTGTTCGAAATGTAGATGAGCCCACATTCAACTATCAAAAAAAAAATTGTAGCTGTGACTGCGCTTAGGTATTGTTAAAAGTTCTAGATGTAGAGGATAGTGGAAGGTGAAATAGGTGCAGATGCGTCTTGACCGAGGAGCTAATATTGAAGCTGGCGATAATTGGCACCTTACACCTGGGCAATGCTTTACAACAACAGAAGGCAAGGGATATAGTCAAATTGCTGCTTGACAGAGTAGCCAAGAGTCAAATTTGAGGAAACCATTAGACTTGAATTACATATTTTTTGATGTAACATGAAGGCGATTCATGGTATTTGGTTTAGTTGCTTGTACTATCTGGGAACTTGCGATACTTGCTCGACGTACTTCCATATTGTCAACTAACTACATACATGTATGTAAGCTGTCTTCGGTGTAATGCGCGAATAGCTAGCATCCAAACCGAATAACTAGCATCCAAACAAGCATCTGATGAGAATCTGAATCTCATCTCTTACGAGCTGTCCACTTGCTCTCCACTTGCTGTCCTATAGATCAGGATGAACCAAAGACATCAAAAGGTCTGGCCCCATCGCCATGCCATAACTCTTCAAAAATTCTCGCAAAAGTTCCCAAGAAACCCTCCGCCTCCCCTTGGGGAATGATGGTACTGTCGTATCTTATATCGATATCCAACTGGCTTTGAAGAATAGTACATCGGAATATCATTGGCAAGCCCTCCGTCTCCTCCAACTTCAACTCTTCTTTTCCACGGCCGAATAGACCATTGCCATCTCCGTTGATTAGAAACGCTTCATTCTCTATCATGAGGACGTTACGCAGCTCCAGAGCTGGTGCAAGTGGCAGGAGGCGAGGCAAGGGGAAACTCTCAAACTTCATTCTCTCCACAAGTGATGTCTGCGCCTCATGTACAATATCGTTGCATGATTTGACACCTGGTAGCTCCAACCTCGTCGGGATGGTGAGCAGGGTCGGCCCAGCGACACGATCGATGCCCTTGAGGCTTGAGTTCCGACCACCAAGAGATTCTAGGAAAAGCACAGAGCTGGGGCGTTCTGCCGAGTGGTGTGAGAGCGTTGCAGCATACGCAACACGGATCACGTTTGCCATGGTGACAGATTGTGCACTTTCAGAGCTGACGATACTGATGGTCCGCAAGAGTCTGCCCATCTGTGGTGGGGACTTTTCCTCTGGATGTGGCAAGACGGGATATTTGGTCCAAGAAGCCTGCAGTAGATAAGTTTTCCAAAATGCCTCTCCCTCAACCAGATCCTTCTCTTCAGGACCCTTGAGGTAGCGGTTGAATGGAGTAAACGGGGCTGGCTTAAGGCCCTGGTAGAAATCCTGAATGGTTTGGAGCAGCATCGGTAGAGAGTAACCGTCGTAGACGGCATGGTGGATTGTCCAGACAAACACTTTAGTTGAGTTGGCTTGATGAAGTACAGCGAAACGTGTCAATGGTGCACCAAGACCCATGGGAGTTTCGAGATCCCGGCTCAAGTAGTCTTCCAAGGTATCACTAGCATCGATGACTTGAACTGGATGGAATTTGATGATGGCCTGAAAAAGCTTCTTGTCTCCTGTGACAAGAACTCTTGCCCGCAAGAGATCGGTGGCTTCTACGATGGAACCGACGGCCGAACTAAATCGTACAAGGTCCACGTCGCTGGGGAGTTGAAAGTGGTATTGGTCAATCCATGCGTCTGGCTTCACCAAAGTCTTTCCGTACCACCGCATCTGGCTGAGTGTCATGGGCAGGACATCTTCTATTTCCCCAATTGGAAGCTTACAGATGGCGGCTGCTGCTGCACGGAGCTCGTGCGAACGGCCCTCTAGCAACCCAAACGGTGGGATATTCTCGTCACTCTCTCCAGCGTCGGAGCTGAATGCGAGTCGAGCTTGGTCGGACAGGACCGGGTTTGAGAGGACAGTGGCAGATGTGAGTGTGATCCCTCGACTGCGTGCTGCAGCGATCAGCTTGATGCTAGTCACTGAATCGCCTCCAAGTTGAATGAAGTGATCATCTGGTCGAATAGTCTCCGGGTCCAGGTTTAGAGCAAAAGCCCACAACTCTCGCAATGTTGACTCCTCAGCAGACAGGGCTCTGGTTTCGCCTTTGGGCGTATCTGGCTTTCGGAGTTTTTGTATCTCAATGGGGCCCAGAGACGTGATTAACTCTCGCAATGCAGCGCGATTTGTCTTGTGAGAAGTGGTTAGAGGGATAAAAGAGACCGGCACGTATAGTGATGGAATCATTGGCTTCGGGAGTATTGTTCCCAGATTCTCCATAATCGTGAGGGAGCTTTCCAAGGTTGTCTCAACTTGATTCCAGTTGATCTCCGGCTCCTCGTTGCCCGACACTTTTACCGAGTCGCTGAGGAAGGCCACAATGGAACCTCCATTATGGAAATTGGGATTCACAACTTTGTCAACACAAGATTTGGATCCCGGGGGCAGAGTCCGAGCCAACCTTGCTTCAATCTCAGCAAGCTCGAAGCGTTGGCCCTGCACCTTAATCTGCGTGTCCTTGCGGCCAACAAAGATGATATCTCCGCCCTCGGTCTGGCGAACCAAATCGCCCGTTTTAAACACACGCCGGGTATCTATACCGATGGACATGTTGACAAATGAGGCAGCGGTCTTGGCCTCGTCACTCAAGTAGCCTCGTGCAAGAGTATTTCCTTCAATGACCAGCTCCCCGATCTCACCCCTGTGGATCAACTCATTGTGGTTATCCTCTTTGACAACCCACAGATTGCAGCCCGTTGGGCGCCCTATGAGCCCCGATGGGACCGTGGTAGTTCCAATTTCGAGCTTGGCACCAGCAGATTGTATAGAGGCCTCCGTCGGGCCGTAGGCGATATAGACTTTCATATGCGGATTCCACAGCTCAAGTAAATCACTTGGGGCAGCCTCGCCACCGGTGATAAGCATCTTCACAGCAGGCATTGTAGCGGGGTCCAACAGTTTGGCGTAGGAAGGCGTCAACATCAAGGTGTTGACGCCTGTCTGATTGACAAACTCCTGTATTCTTCCATAACGATCTTCCTCATCCGGCACGCAGATGCAGCCGCCAAAGATGAGAGTCGTAAATATCTCCATCAAAGACATGTCAAAAGCATACGACGCAAACTGCAAGACTCTCGAGCTGGAGTTGAGCTCTTGGTCAGCGCCATATGCGAGAGCGCTCGTTAGCCAGGCGCCATGTTCTATCATGACACCCTTTGGACGGCCTGTACTGCCCGAGGTAAAGATGGTGTACATCAGATGATGCGGCGAGACATCAGACAGAGATGCGGGTGACTCGGCAGCGGTGCTCTCACCAGAGAAGATGTCAGTGGATAGTTCCAAGGTTGGAACTCCAGCAAGACCATTGAATCGCAGAGCCTGTTCAGCAGACACCAGCAGAATGGGAGCATCGGTGTCTTCAATAATCTCCAACAGTCTCTGTGTTGGGTGAGATGCGTCTAGCGCAGTGAAAGCACACCCTGCCTTTAAAACTGCCAACATAGCAACGATGGTAATGGCAGACTATGTGAAACAGGTTAGCCATTATTTTCCCTTTGAAATCCTTTCCGTTCTCCCTCGAGGGCTACAACATGAATATCATCTCGAGTTGAACGAGAGAGAGGTGGCACAGAGATTGAAGAATGTCTTACCTTCTCATAGATAATTGGCACAATAGAACCCAAGCTGGCTCCAGAAGATGCAATCTGAATAGCCAGCCGTGTAGAACTTTCGTCTAGTTCTTTGTATGTGAGATTCACAGTCGCCGAGACAATAGCCTGAGCTTCAGGCTGAGCGATGACTTGATCTCTAATCACATCCTGAACTAGTTTGTTTACTTCTGGTGGAGGCAATGGCAGACGTTCAGGCGATGAAAGATTGGGAGTGATTGAAATGTCAATATGAAGCTTTGACGCCGACGCCATTGTATGGCTGGGTAATATGGAATCAGCCATATTGCAGAAGAGTCCTTTCGGCTTATTGAGTTCAGTCTTTCAGATAGTGTAGATCTCAATCACTGAGATCTTCAAGCCGCCTTGCAGAGCCAGTATATGAATGACTTCCTGGTAGGTACTTTGAACACTGGATACCGTCTCAACTACAAAAACATGCTAGCAAAGAGGATATGCGTCAAGGGAAGCGGTACGTCACGAGCGAGTATCCCTGGAACTACAAATATAGTAACTATGAACTTTACGTTACGATGCGGCTGAGTTGCCTGGATCCTGTCTCATCCTTTTGTTCAGCTTACACGCGGGAAATGTTGCACTGACAACTATTTTGGGTCGTTGTAGGATTGCCACTCTCTTTCAGTAATTATCTAAGAGCTAAAATCCTTTCTCAATGCTCGTATTCCCCAGATGACTTGTATGAGTAGTACGAGAGTTGATAGCGGCCTATTGCAGAAGTAACGAACTTTGCGTGATTAATTAATAGGTCCGATAGCAGAGGAATGTGATTTAAGAGCGATACCTGTTGTCTGCTTCATAGAACAGGCAACTTATCCAAGTGAATACGATTGATCTATGCAAGTAATTTAGTGAGTAAATTTCGTACCGTCAATTATACGACTATGTTTGTAATCAACGCTGACTTCTAATGCGGCTAATTACAGGTATGCAGCTTCATATGCACGCAAGAACAAGAGATGGACAAAATATTGCATCCTTCAACGAGACGGCAGAGAGATGGGCCGTAGCGTTGTATCCATGATCCTACAGCTGTCAGTGAATGGAGTTGTGCGTGTTACCCTTGAGGTGGCATATCACCAACCAATGACTGGTCCGATTCTTCGGAGTCGATGCCGAGACTGCTAGTGCTTAATCAGGAAGGATTCTGGACGCCCGTCTCTTTTCTGATGTCTCGACCGTGATAGGCTAAAGGCATCCCAGTCAGATCGTCGCATTACGATCCTACAGATCCCTCACCCGTCAGGTCTTCATCCGCCGTCCTTCGTTATCAGCTAGCAAAAGTAAAGATGCCATACCCGTCAAGGAAGATCCTGGTACTCTTGTCAGGGGCAACGTCACATGTGCGATTGGTTTCATTTTGTCTCAGAGCCATTGAATCCTTTCCTCTGGGTTTAGCTAAAACTTAAGCTTAGCGTTATGTGTGCTAAGAGTAGGATCTTCCATGAGCTGAGTAGTATTCCATAGTTTGTTGATGTTGAAGGCCACATAGAATTCAAACTTTATGTCAATACTGCTAATTCCTTTCCATCAGCCTCACCAGCGCCTAAAGATAGATCTTTTAAGGGGACAGGAGCTTTAGGGAGGATGATGATCCTTCGAGTGACTAGCTTCTGCCATAGAATATTGAAGCCCAAGCGGTAATTCCGGTAGTAGGATGACATTAGCGGATCGTTATCCATTTTGCTAGAGAGGGTGTTCGTCGAGCTGAATTATGTATCATGTGTGTGTATGAAAAGCACAAAGTTCCCCGGCTTTCATGGTAGTCTGAGCTCAAGACTCACAGACACTATAGCTCAAGTAATTTGAGAATCATGTCTACTGTTCTGGCTCTTCTCCCCTGGCTGGCCGCTGCCGGTCTTCTAGGCGGCATCTACTATGTGTGGTATCGCGTCTTTTCATACCAAGGCATTCCAACAAGTCTAGCTTTTGCCAACTCGGATGGGTCCTTTTTCTCTCGCGGTCGAGCGTCTCTCGGCTCTGTCTTTGAAGTTAACACTCTCCTCTGGGCCGGACACCGTGATGTAAGAACCAGTCTTATGCTCTCTTCTGGCTCACAGTTAACACTGTTAAATAGTACTCTAAGAAGGGACGGCCATATATCCTCCCTGATATTTTCACGGGGCACCAAGTCATCTTACCGCCGGAGAACTTGCCGTGGTTGATGAAGCAGCCTGCAAATGTGCTCAGCCAGCGTGAGAGCAACAACGAGTTTCTCGCAGCCAAGCACACGTTCTTAAACTGTGTTGCTGCCGATGATAACGAGTGGACATTTGTAGTCAATCTCATCAAGGACATCACCAAGGAGCTCAACAACAAGACCAACGATGTCATCGAAGAGATTCAAGCAGCCTTGGAAGACCTCTGGGGCAATGACACAAGAAATTGGACACAGGTTGAACTTTTGGACGTTTGTTTGGAGCTCATGAGCCGCATCGTCAGCCGCATGTACGTCGGGTTGCCACTATGCCGGGATCCGACTTATCTTGCTAGTTCGACTCATTTTGCAAAGTTCATCTTGGTCGAAGCTCTTCTCGCCCAGCTGACTCCAAAGCCTCTTCGGCCACTCCTTGGTCCTGTTCTTGCGCAGTACGACTGGATGCAGTTCAAGCGTATGGACCGCTGTGTCAATCCCGTAATCCAAGAGCGCGCAAGACGGTTTGGCCGCATGGAAAATGAAGAGAAGAAAGATCCAGACCAGCCAAGCGATCTCCTATCTCGTCTCATGCAAGAAGCCTATCGTCGCAATGATGACCCGTGCCGATCACAGAGCCATAGCAGCAAGCTCTTGGCCATTCTCAACTGGGCTGCCATTCAGGTCCAAGGCATCACCCTTGAGAATGTCCTGATTGACATTGCTCACTCTCCTCAGAGTGCCAGTATCCAAGACCAACTGCGCGAAGAAGCTACGGCTGCAGACAATGCTGATCCTTCCACGCGCTGGAAGCGAGCAGAAGTAGCCAAATTGCCCAAGATGGACAGTGTCATGACTGAGAGTCTCCGCCTCTGGGGGTTCGCCCATGGCATCATCAAAGTAGTTGTGGCCAAGGATGGTGTTGATCTCCCAACGGGAGAACACATCCCGTGTGGTGCAAAGATTGGAATTGGGAGCTACGGCCTGCATCACGATGCGGAGGTCTATCCTGGGGAGTCGCCCTTTTCGTTTGATCCCTTCCGCTTCCTGGACGAGAAGACAGAGGCGCAAACGACCGGGCTCAAGTTTGCGGCCACCAGCGACACCTATCTCGCCTTTAGTCATGGCAGATATGCTTGGTAAATGAACACCAGAGACTTTGAGTGGTGGTATTTTACTGACTTATATATAGTGCCGGCCGCTTCTTTGCGAATCATCTGCTCAAGCTGCTCTTGTCGCAGATCGTGATGCGGTACGACATCAAGCCTGACGCAGATCCCCGGCCTCAGAACCCTGTAAGTTATTCCCAAGTTGGGAAGGTAACACGTTGTGTGTAAACTAACGTGAGCTCTGTCATAGTGGTTTAGCTATGTTTCGCCGCCTCCAATGGGGTACAAGATCTCTGTGAGGAGGAGGAAGCAGTAGGCATCAAAATGCTGGACCCTATCTTGTGTTATTGTTCTGCTTATTGAGGAGGCGAAGAGTATGAAGATTCCCGGATTCTTCCGGATAATTATCTAGACAAATGAAATTCCAATTGATGAGATATTAGCATTACATAAAACATTACTATTATAGCACCAATGAGATTAGAACTACAAATAGCCTTGTCGAAAGAGGGATAGGAAAAGTAAATGTAGTAACCGGAGCCGTGCTGTCAACTATTACTCAAGGCTAGAGATGTTGAGCGTTTTACATATAGATAAAACATGGCTGGGTAACACTCCTTCATCACTTCGAATTATTCTACAGGTCATTGACAACGTATTTCCCCCCAGAATGAAGCTGAAGAAGAAAGGGGGCAAGTTTGACGCCACCTCCGCAATTGCCTAGTAAAATCCACATACAACCTTATATGCCCATACCGCATGCAACGCGGTACCACCGACCAAAGTAACATCGCCATCCAATAAGATGCCCTGCAAATCCGACATATCATACTATGCATTCCGTAATTAGCGGCATATTACCCCGCTTAAGCTTTGTCATGAGATGGTCATATACGAATAGGGGACTTATTAAGAATCGACAAATCCCTCTGTTACTAGGCAGTATATAGTATTGAGCTAAACCTTACTCTATACCCCATCCAGGACGTACTAAAGGGATATTAAACTCACTACTATTGGTACTTGTTATAACATCCATCATATCTTAAATAACATACCTTATGGAGACCCGTGCAAATCGACAATCGTCTCTCCCTCAGTCCAGTGCCCGCCGGCTCGCTCGGAAGCGCAAGCGATACGTGTTTCAAGCCTGCGAGCGGTGTAAACAGCAAAAGATTCGATGCAATGGCAAGAAACCGTGCGATAGATGCGAAAAAAGGCGACCGGAAGAATGTGTCTATAAATTGCGGGACTCTCTTATAACGGAATTAAACAACGTTGGTGCTGTTTATACCAACAATGGCGAAGTAGAGATTCCGGCCGGGGCATCCAGTCACAGGGAACCTCCTCCTACTTGGTATGTCTCAATACCGCAGCTGATAGAACCCATCGTCCAGTTCATGACGGTTATATACTAAGAGATCTGAACTCATCTAGGGATGCTGCCTCGGCTTTGGATTTAGCAAAGATAATTCAAGCTCAGTCAGAAAAACTCGATTTGCTCCTCCAGAGGACCGAGGGCAACAGCAATGGACTCAATAAGAGACTCGCCGGAGAGCCTGAGGAGCATATCCCTATTAACGCTGAACAATACTCCGCGGCCATGTCTTACAAGCACGTACTTCCATTTTTCCGTGGTCCTTCCGGCATGACCTTTTATATGTCTGCAGTAGGGATGATAGGCAGCGGAATAGACAGCACGGACCGAGAGACATATTCGACACTGGATGGAGAGATTATTGTCGAAAGTAGTTGCGAAAATATCCAGAACGATTCATATGATCGGGACATTGATGATTTCTCGATACCAGCGACGGCAAAGCCCCTACATGGATTGCCCTTCAGCACATTGGAGGAGATAGATGGAGAAATGGCGGTCCATCTTGTACACCTTTACGACACTTTCGTGGGCGTAACGCATCCTATCCTACCAATTGGTGTTTTGATGCGGCATGTGAGGAAACTCTACCCTGCTCTGGCAGCAGAATCGCATTCATCCGTTCAAGATATCTTGGCGGCTCAAATGGGTCGCAGTGACCTCAACATCATCAAGATGGTGTTTGGTATTGCCTTGGTTATACAAGACAGTAGTCATGAGGCCGCAGCCGCAAAGTTCCATGCAAGCATACAACGCGATGTAGACAACACAATATGGGCGGCCACTGCAGAAATTGGCGACTTACAAGTACTGATATTAGTTGTACGTACTGAACTCGGTATTCCTCTATTCAGCTGGCGCTAAAACTTGAACAGAGTATATATCATTCAATCAAGGGCAACTCGAGACTTGCTTGGCGTATTGTTGGCAATCTCACTCGTCTGATCCTGGAATTTGGGCTGCATAAAGGCAAAGTGCTTATGAGCATGTTTAAGGAGCCAAGTTCGTATAAACTGGCAGTAAACATGTTCTGGACGGCCTTTGTTCTCGATTGCCAGCTCAGCTATTCCTTGGGGCTACCGAGACATATTCAAGATAAAGATATTGACAATAGCATTCCGTTGCCGGTACGTACTGAGTAGTTTTCTATCTTTCATTCTTTTTCCAAGTGGAGGAGCACTAATGATTGTCATAAAATTTAGGGCGATTCCCCTTATTTACTAGCCATGATCGATTACTGTCGTCTAGGTTCTAGAATCTGCGAATCCATCTCCAATGTCTTTGGCGGCTCATCTCATTACGCGCAAGAATGGCGAGAATCATTCGATTTCTTTCAAGATCATCTCAGCCAATGGCAAGAGAAACATGTTCCAAAAGTACTGGATCCTAATATCGAGGAACCCGATGCTAAAAAGATCCGTCATTTCCAAACACTGCTCTACTTGAGGGCCAATCAGCTACGCCTCGTACTAATTCGTCCGGCACTTTACTCGTTCCAACTGCAAGAGGCTACCAACTCGGACCTGTGGGCGACAACTGTCAACATCGCCTGCGACAGTTTTCAGATCTTGCTGGACTTGTTTGGCGGGACCGACATATACAAAATGCAGCAAACGCAGTACAACTACTTCCTCATCACGGCGCTTGGGGCCGTGTTGGGCGTCTTGGCTCAAGAGAAATCAGCTCTCAATGCGGGCAAGGTTGATGGTGCTACCCTCGCCAAGGCCCGTGAATTCGTTACGGCCTCATTGGATCTCCTCAAGTTGACCGCTATATCTTCAAAGACATCAGAGCATCAATATGCAAAGGTCATGTCCCTCTGTCGTCGACTTGGCCTCCTGACGCCTTCCGGTACTCCCAATCCGCTCTTAGACAGCTTTGACGTTGGCTTATTTCAGGAAATCAATGGCGATGCTGATTTTTCTCATTTTCTGTTACCAGAATATCAGCTGGGGCCCATGTGGGCTGATCTAGATTTTGCTTAGATTCTAAATCAAAATGATTGAAAAGAGAATTCAATTTGGCCGATAACAAGTATCATACCACGATGGAGATGTTGAATCTCCAACAAAACTATCTCAACTCAGCGAAGTTTCCATCTGCTATAAAGACTTTCACTTGGACATTTCTTTCGGAATATTTCCACCGTATTTGATGATGGGACTTTCCAAGAATTTATCCCAGTGTTCCATTGACAAAGCCAATTCTCGAGACAATCTAACCTCTTCTTGCCCCCGAGCGATGACCTCTTTATCGTACTCAGTAATGGCATCCGCCAATTTCATCTCTCCAGTAGTAGCTTTCTCTATGGCAGAGACGAGGCTGGCGGCGTCGGCAGTCGCGTTGTTAAGTCCTTGTCCACGATCTTTTATAGCAAGTCAGCATTTCCTTTGTCTAGTGAGAGACAATTAAATCACTTACAGAATGCGATTGCGTGCGCTGCATCTCCAGCCAGCGTAACTCGGCCATCATGATTGTCCCACGGCTCTGGACTCCACATCTTGATAGCATCATCGGGGACTTCCAAGTCATCGGGCAGCCACATCAAGGCTGATCGTCTAGGCTCCGCAAAGTTATCTGCAAGGGACCTCAGAATGGCAACACGCTCAGCATTGGTTTTGCCCTTTAGCGGGTTGCCAGTGAGCGTTTTGGGGTATGTAATGACAAAATGGAATGTCCATGTAGAGTAATCATCTTTATCTTCAACGCGCATAACTGGATGTAAAAGTTAGCGTTGACTCTTCAAAGAGGGCCAAGTATCTTACCAAGGATAATAAAGAAGATTCCCTTGGGATGAACTCCATAATCAACGTGCGGCACTGTATTGTCTGCAATATATTTCCCTTGCTCATGAGTATATCTGGCATTGATGTTGATCATTTCAACGTCTGGATATACCTCCGGCAGGGCGAGGTTACCAAGAAGCAAGCGCCGTACCAAGGACTGTCCGCCCTCAGCACCAATAATCATGGTGCCCTTCTCAAATGTTCCATTTTTGAAGCGGGCAACAACACCATCGGTCGTATATTCGATACCAACGAGTTCTCGATCGAACTGGCAGTTGGTTAATTTTGAATATTCTCCAAGCATGCCAAATGGAAACTCAGAAAGAAAAAAAACATACCTGAATCTTGACTCCATTGAGTAGAAGCTTTCTCATGTCCACTCTGTTGACTCTCCTGGCAAAGGGAGAGTTCACTTTTGCTAATATATCGCCACTCTCGGCATTCCTGACAACCAATTCTTCAACTGCCGTCGGTTCATAGTATTTCTTTGACTGCGCCTCGTTGATGCGATTGTTAAGCTCTTCAGATAGCAGGGCAGGGTAGTGTCGAAAAGACCAGAATATGGTCATGCTCCAGTCTCGAGTACGAGTGGCCGGGTCGACCTTGTCGTAAACAGCGAAGGATATTCCTCTCTGCGTAGTAGAAGTAAAGGGTTAATTACGGAATTCTGGCTGCATAGATGGAAGCATAAAATCGCATATTACCTTTTTGAGGCCTTGTGCTATCAGGAGGCCGGTGATTCCGGAACCAACAATAATAACGTGTGGAGTCGTGGTGGTAGCCATTGTGTCTATGTCCAGAGAAGCACAATTGAAAGGCGATTAACAGTCACTTTAAAGTAGAGAGCGAATTTGAATTCAGGTTGCTTTTTTTACTTTGAGATATATCTTAGGACTTGTCGATATTTTATAATCGAGTAGAGGCCATGTGTACCGGCTTTGATCCGACTTCATCGGCTCAATCCGATGTTGCACTACAGTCCGACTAATTCGGAGCATTCCGATTCTGTTACGCATTGGTGTTTATTCAAGCATAAAGTCGCCTGACATGCACCGGCATTCCGTCTTTTGGGTGCTGGACGGTTTGCCCACATCCATAGAGCCTCTGCCCACCAACCATCTCTTTGGGTTTCGTCGTTCCTTGTTTCAAATCCCACTTGTCCCAAGCCTCTTGGATGTCAAATTCCCTACACACTAACGCAGCCACCAATTTTATTTCCACCATGGCAAGCTCCTGTCCGATGCAATTCCTCGGCCCCATGGAGAACGGCCTCCAGGCGTCCTTGTTGGGGTGCATCGGATCGCCTTGGGCTGCGATCCAGCGTTCCGGGAGAAATTCGTTTGCGCGCGGCCAAACGTGTTCGTCAAGCTGAATGACGGACGGCACGTCATGGATGGCGGTGCCCTCCGTCGGGTATCTCATATCAGACCCGGAGACAGTGAGAAAGAAATCCCTTTCGCCCTGGCGCACGGTTGATGCGAGCGGGTAGAAGCGGAGAGCTTCTTTGACGACGCCATTGGTGTACACCAGGTTGCTTAGAAGCTGAGGCGAGTCCCGTAACAACCTGGCGGCTTGGTTCACGTCTTCTCCAAGAACACTGTTAAGCTCTTCACGGAGCTTGGAGAGACAGTCGGGGTTGCCCCGAAGCAGCTTGAACATCCAGCAGATGGTTGACGATGTTGTGTCGTGGCCCGCAAACAGGAAAAGCTTGAGATTAGCTAGAATGGCATCGACTGACTGTTGATCGGGAACTTCGCCGCCCGTTTCGGCAAGCGTGCGACTCAAGGCTATGCTTAGAATAGTCTTTTTCTCGCTGACAGCATCGGCGAGATGAGGTGACTTTGTGACGGCTTCCACGCGGCCCAGAAGAGCGTCGCGTAATGCTTCGTTGTTGCGCTGTCTGATCCAGGCTTCCCACGGCCACCTTCTGATGCCTAGGATACGGTTCACGCCGAGGACTTTGCTCATCAACCGTATCTGACTGATGAGAGCTTGCTTAAGTGGACTACCCAGTGTATTTATCTGCTCATGCAGTCTTTCATCCCTAGATGGCGTGTAAGTATGGGCACGATCAATATCTTGGAGGATTTATTACATGGTTGCACGAAGAATTACGTCGAAAGTGAGATTCGTGGTGCGCTCCTCTAGCTGAAAGACGTCCCCCCATAGTCCGCTTGGCCCAGCCATTTTCCCGAGCAAATCTTTAAAGACCATGATCTCATCGATGAGCTCGGGAATGAGCATGGTGATGTTTCTCGGACTGAAACTCGGATTGAACCGCGACCTCCACACCTTGGACTGACTGCCGTCGGCAGAGGTCATGTCCAGGTTATCTGTCAACGGCTCCAGGAATGTCCGAGTAATATGGTGCTTAGGCAAGCTTCTCGCCTGCGTAAACTGCGCCGACATGCTGCCGTCAAAGACCATCATCATGACGTCCGGGAAGACGGGCCAAATATCAAGGTACAAAACTGGCGGGGGGCGTTTCAAGTCTGGAATCCACTGGCTGCAGTTATCTACAAGCCATTTCATGATGATGCCGAAATGGACATCCTCGGGGTGATGCTTCCGGAACTTGAGGAGAATTGGAATATGGCCAAACAGGAGGGAATGCGGGAGAGTGGGCTGCGAGCCGGTCAGTATTTACTGCGATGAGAGTGCCAAACTTTACGTATGTACAATTCCCTGAGCTTGCAACTCTCGGACATGCCTCCTGACTCTGTATCCACGATACAGAAATCTAGCAACCAGCGCAGCTACCAAGATGAGCAGGCCACGCGAAAATATTTTGAGCAGCCGAGATACAAGAGTTGATTCCATTTCTGATGTATACGAAGCAATCAAGTCGTACAGTATCTAAAGAAAGCTCAACAAGTTGATGCTTTACGCGCAGATTGACTAGAGTCTGATTGATATGGAATCCTCTTATCTGGAAGCATGTCTTGCATTAGAAGGCTGACGACCCGCTTACATCTTTGGAGCTGCTGCTATGTATAGCCGAAGGATCGGAGGATCGGAGGATTAGAGAGGATGGCCATCCATGTAGTATTACATACACTTGGGTAGGCTAAACAGATGCAGATCCTAATGCGACTTGGCCATGCATGACTGCCGCTGTATCAGCGGTAATACGAAGACATCAATAGTGAGATAAAATCCGTTACACGCATCAGCCTTTGTCTCGGCTGAATCCAGCGTCAAGATTCTCCAGCTTCTTCTTCCGTATAGCCTAGATAGGCAGGTAAGTTGATATTTCGCCAATCTCTACAAGTAGTATCAAAAAAAATGGATAACGCGTTGACATCACTCGGTTCCCAGCTCAGCACTGTTCTCATAAATGCGATTTCATTTATAGCGACGGCATGTATGTACTTTGTAGGAATTCATCCGAGATCAAACAAGAAGAAAAAAGGATAAAGATATAAAAAAGAATAGAAAAAAACAATCATGCTGGTCTATGATATTAGGCGTTGCGCGTTACAACTTGGCAACAGCCGCTGCTGAAGGAACCAGTCCCCATCTCTCGGCAACCTCGTCGTTGGGAATCTGTCCAGGCGTCACTCTGGCATTGACAAATGTTTCGCCGCCGCTCTCCCAGGCGTGATCCTTCCATGAGCCCAGGGTAGGCCACATCTTGTCCTCGACAAGCCTCTTGATCTTGTTGCTCTTCTGCGTTGCGGCTTCGTCCTTGGTGCCGATGACAGGGCCAATGACGCTTCTCCATAGATCCCAAGTCTCGTCGAGCTCTGTGATGGCCGTGACACCCATGACGCTTGCACCGATGCGAGGTCCAGCCCCGACATATGCCGTTGTGCCAAAGTCCCTTCCTGCGCGAGACCAATTTTCCAGAGCCCACCGGATGGCCACCCCCTCAAGGTGCTCGCCGTTATCCTGTGCGATTTGTGACAGCTTGGTACAGGCCTTGCGCAGCTCCGGCGGCGAGGGGTGCCAGGAGACCATAGGGCCGTTGTCAACACCGCGAGTCGTCAGCAGGCCCATGTTGAGCATGCTTGCGTTGAGCAGACACTCCACCCTGGCGGCCTGGAATCGTTGCAAAAAGTCGGCTCGCCCAAGCTGGCAGTTTTGCAGGCAGAAGTTGCCGTAGGAGAGAATGGCATCCAGAGGCTCGCCCGTCTCCCTCAGGACCATCTCCGCCAGCGATGCGAGAGTGCCGACGGGATATCCGCTGATGCCAACATAGCGAATCAGTCCCTGGTCGCGCAGGCGGCGCAGTTCCTTGACGGCCTGCAGGACCTCGGCGGCAGACACAAACTCGACATCGTGCATGTAGACCAAGTCCAGGTACCGCGTCCCGAGACGCTCCAGGCTGCGGCAGACGCTGTATCGCACCCACGCCGGCGAGTAGTCGAATTCGTCCGACTTGATGCGGCCAGCCTTGGTGACGAGGAAATATCCCTCTCGCGGCGGGGGCGGGGTCAAGAGTCGCAGCGCCTGGCCCAGCAGGATCTCGGAGGGGCCGTAGTAAGGCGAGGTGTCAAAGGCGTTGATTCCGTGCTCGAGGGCTTTTCGCACAATATCGACGTAGGGCATGCGTGAGGGATCGGGGTGATACTGATGGTTGAAGGTGGCCGTCCCCAGCAGCAGGGGAGGCAGAACCTGCGACAGCGGCGGTGAGGCACCCATTGAGCGGCGACGGTCGGCGAGCAGAGCCGGAGAGAGAGATTCAGGGACGGTTGAGAGGCATGGCTGGTGTTACAGGAGGGTGAAGGGAAAGGTAAAGTATTTATTATCAGGTGGCGTTGGATATCACGTCTTGGAACTATGCTCGGAAGAGAGACGGAGAAACCGGAACCCTGTCCGTTTTTTTCCCGATCGAGCCAAGACCCTGGAACAGAAAACGGTGCTATACATAAATCCCGACGACGAAAGGGCCAGAATGTGCTACAAGTACAGTACAATAGAGTAAAGGCTTCGGAAGACGGCGCAAATTCATAGGCTCTTGGAGAAGCAACGGCTGTGACGAGGGCGAGGGCCAAGATCCGTGATTTGACGGCGTGGGTTCTTCGGAGTAATTGATGCGTCAAACTTCCGTCGTGTATATGCGAGCTTAAAAAGGAAGCAGAAAAAATGGCCCGTCGTCTTTTAAGCCGCCAAGCCCGTTTTTCAGCTTCGGGTATTACGGGATTGAATAGTAAAAGTACCAGACAAATCAACGGAGTAGGTAGTAATACGAAAATGGCAAGTATCAATCCTTGAGATCGTCCCGTACAGATACAATTACTTGGTGCATCGGAAGGTCTGCTGATACGGGAGTTGCAGATGCTTTGTAAGGCTGCCTTTCAGCAGCATCCGTCGTCTAATATGCACCAAATGTAACATCCGTACCTATTCATAGTATTACTCCGTGCTGATGCCGATACAGTGGAAAACTCAAGACGCTATGCTCTGTATTCCCGCTGCAAATGACCCAAATGAATTCATACTCCGGAGTATTTTGTCTGCGTTGTGCTTGTCCCAGCAGATGCGCCGATCGAGATGATGCATTACAGCCCGCTAATCACACAAGCGCGGTAGCCGAAGCCGCTGCTGATAGGCTGGTTGGCTGGATCTTGGGGTCAGATCCCGAGCTGTAGGTGATCCACGGGCATCTGTGCTTATCTGCGTCTCAACTGCTGATAACATACACATGTACATCTATTTGGCGATGCAAGATCAATCAATACCGTTGAAGGAGTACATAATAGTATCGTCGCGGCTTAGTAATCCACGATGTCAATGGCCCCGCGTACCTGCCATATCTGCATATCTGCTAATCTACACGTGCACAACCGCATTCCAAACATCACTTCATCACTACCTAGGATCAAGTACATACAATAATCATCATCATGAGCCATTCAACCAAGCATCACTTCTATACTACTGCAACTAATCAACTCAACTCAACGAATCATGACTGAGTTCTGCACATCCGGCCATTCTCCGCAACCGTCCAAGCCTCGCTGCCCACGGCCGCCCTCGCATACAGCAGACCCGTGGGGTCATACTTTTGCTTGATCTTGAGCAGCTGGGGGTAGTTGGCGCCGAAAAAGGTTTCTTGAAAGTCAGGCTGCTGGAAGTCGGCCTCGTTCATGTAGGCACCGGCACCGGGCGTGGCCGCCTCGATGACGGGCTGGACGACGTTGGTGATGGTGTCCTGCGTGGCAATCATGTCCTGGAAGGGAACCTGGAAGCTGTACGGCAGCGTCAGTGACACCTCGACAATGGACGATCGCCACTGCGGCAGCACGGCGTTGGCGTTGTTGCCGCCAAAGTGAGAGACGTTGAGTCCGACTCCGATAAAGGTCACGCCGAGCTCGACTAGCTTCTGCGCCGTCGGAGAGAAATTCGGCAGCACGGAGCGGGGAATCAGTCGGCCACCAAACAGGTCCGTGCCGACCTGGATGTTGCCAGCAGGAAATGGGCCCCAGTAGTTCTGGAAGTGATCAAAGTAGCTGGGGAACTGCGTGTACGTGGGCGTCAGGTCGACATTGAGTGCCGCCAGAGAGTCAACAAAAGGCTTCAGAATGGCCACAACCTCGTCTTGCGTCTTGCCATATGCCGTCATGGCAGGCACCTGGAAGAATCCCGGGCCGAAGAAGTAGATGATCATGACACCCGAGTCCACAATGGCAGGCAGAGCGGCGTGGAACGCGTCAATGACTGCGTACAGTGTCTCGGAGGAAGTGGTGGCAACGGCAAACTTGGAGCCGCTGACAATGTTGTCAGGATGCGCTTGGAAAACCACGGACACTACAACACCATAGTTGCCGCCGCCGCCGCCGCTCAATGCCCAGTAAAGATCATTATACTGAGTCCGGGTGGCAGTCACGAGCGTTCCGTTGGGAGTCACGACATCATATGAAAGGGCATTGTCGGCCGCCAAGCCATAAATGGTGCTGAGAGCGGAGTGGCCGCCTCCTTGGACGTATCCTCCGGCAATGCCAACACTGGGGCATTCTCCCGTCACTACAATTAAACCTGCTGCGTGTGCTGCCTCGAGAGCTTCAAAGCCCTGGACACCAGCTCCAATCTTGAGGGCCTTGCCGGTGTAATACTTATCGCTCCAGTCCAAAACCTCGGTGTCCTTGAGATTATGAGTCCAAACAGAGAGGGCGCCTGCACCAGTTGAGCGGCCGTTATAGTCATGCCCCGTGTTGCGGATGACGAAGCGGATGTTGCGCTGCGCCGCGAATTTGAGCGTTGCTGTGACATGAGCAGGCGTTGACACATTGACCGCATATCGCACATAATTGCCGAGAGTGCAAGGCGTGTCAGCCGGTTGGAATGGGTCGCAGCTCGCATTTGCGAACAAAGGCGCCATGACCGACGACGACGAGGCGTAGCTAACAGGCCGTTTGTCAGATAATATCGCTGGCAAGCGGTGCATACATCTGGGGAAGCTAGACAAGAGGGAAAACAAAAAAAAAAAAAAAAGGGCGTCTCTCATGCATATACAACTTACTGGATTGGAGAGAATAGCCAATTGTCCTGCAGAGACTGGCATTCGGCCTCATTGTAGGATGCACCGTGGCACGGCGATCCCAGAGGAGTCGTCGCAATCAGACGCCCATCAACAGTCTTGTTGAACGCGGCCCAATCACTGTTACTGGGCCAGCATGCATCACCAGGGAAGCATTTGCATGACGATGTAGACGAGGTTGATGTAGACGAGGTTGCGGGCGCACAGTTGGCGAAGCCTACCAGGTTCGCAAAAGCCAGAAGCGCAGAACCTAGGTTGCTGCGATGCATCTTAGAATCCCGGGTGTGCTCCGTGTGGTGTGGCGAGAGGGGAAAGAGAAGCTGAGGAGGTTGAGCTACAGATTCGGCGAGATGCGCGGATCTGTGGACTTTTATCGAGCCATTGCCACGATTTAGAGGTCCATCGATCTTGGCTTGCATACGCCCATCTCGGCATTCCACGTGCCGGTCTAATCATTCTACTACTCTTTACGGTCACCTCGTCAGTCGATAGTCGAGATGCTAATCAAAGGACGTCGATGCGCGGGCATCAGATCCCACGCGGCCAATCCCGCGGCCGCAGCTCTGTTCAGTTGTTCGCTTGGGCTCAAGGCCCCCTCATTCAAGGTAGACTGGGGGAGCAAGACCGCCTTTTTCGGCGTACTGATGAGAACGTGACCCGAGTAACCCGGCGGAGAAAGCATCATTGGCTAGGCTAAAGACAAGGGAGCTCACATTTGGAGCAGAGGAGAAAGAAGCAGAGAGAGAGAGAGAGCTGAAGAAACAGCTGAAGAAGGAGCTGGGGCCATGTCTACCTTTAGTACCCGGTCTATCCTGGGGTTCTGCTTCGTTCCGTTGTCCCTTTTTCATGTGCCAAACAGGTTGCCGGTTTTGCTTGAACCTTCAATGCGAGCTGTGAGGTGGTATTCGAAAATTTCGCTATTCGCCCCATGACCGGCAGTTGACACGAGAATTCCCGGTGCGTTGTTGAGTCTGGACCTCGAGTCTGGACCTCGATCTCAAAACTGCCCGCAGAGGTAACGGTACTACATTCCCCCTCTTCTCACCGTCGCTCTGGAAGCTGTCGTGTTGGGATGCTGCGCGGGCCGCGGTCTAGCACTATTTAGCGCTTTGCTTCTGCTCCTTGAAAGATCCCTAGTGCAAATGAGAGAATTCTGCCCGTTCGAATTAGGCAAAGATTAACAAGTTGGACGTCTCTCCTGCATGTGGACAGGGATGTAGTTCAGGGACAAAGCCCCCCAGGTCTTGCTATGTCGTATTGCTGCAACGGCATTCATGCTGTACAGAAGGGCACAGAAAAGAAGGCCTGTTAAATGACAGCTGCTTGGATTGTCGAATCTCGTGTCAATGATCACTTACTCGGCCTTGGGTTCTGCTCTTGCTATTATTCCCCCACCTCTGGCGATCTACCGTTGGCGGAACCGTATCCTCCCGCCGCCATCAACGACTACTCTGAACTATGACTCTTCCTGGATAAGACCGCGCTGTGGCTGCCGGCTCTTGAAAGCGGAGTTCCGGCGGACCAGGGGTACAGAAAAGATGGGGAAAGACACATTTCGTCCGAAGCCCAGCGACTGAAGACGCACGAAGAAGCATCAAAGCTGAAAACCCCCCGTCTGGGGAACGGACGAATTCAGCTTGGTAATGGTAAGCAGCATGAACTCAGTGATCACGCCTCTCCTCTAGGAGACTGGGCTAAACAATAGCTCTTTTTTCTGCGCAAGGCTATGCTTCAAGTTGAATGGTATCGTGGCCTGCAGATCAGATCTCACAAAATTCGTCGGGCGATGCATCACCTCGGCACTCTGACTAAGCTGTCGTCACTGCAGCTATCCCTGGTCGCATGAGTGCAGTCTGCCATCGGCGAACCAGCTCCCCATGTATGCGTAGAATCAAAACCAGTCATCTCCGAATGGGCCAGCTGCCGGTCGGGGCGACCCCTACAGGTGCCATGGCCTGCTTTTCTCTCTTACCTATTACGCGCAGGAATGCTACCCTCCCAAGGGTCTCGGATTCGTGGATTACGACCGCTACGCCCGTTCGAAGCCTGCGCGGAGGAGAGGAAAGGACGGATTGGAACGTCGTACGTCGAAAATAGGAAAGAAAGAAGAAAGCAGGTGAGAGTTACATTGCTTGTAGATGCGTAACACAGGGGAGAGCGCTGTTCCACGTGGAGTATCTCTCATCTCGATTATTCGATTATGTCCTGAGGCACAGGCAATGAGAGAGGACAGGCAAGTACGAGTACGACGTACAGGAGACTTTGTCAAGCCCATTCTTGCGTGAACCTGTAAGATGTCCGGCTCTCTCTCCGCTTTGAAGCTAATGTCGCAGTGCTAGCACAAAACGAATAGACTAGAGAATAGAGAGGCTTGCCTATCCAATACGGGAGCAACGGCGAGCAGTAGCAACGAGGCGGGCGGTTTTCTTTCCTTACGCGGCACCGTGACGGGGAGTGCAAAAAGGGAAAAGAAAGCATGGATCGGGGGTTCCAGTGCCTCGGAAAATGACATGCGGCATTGACAGGCTCTCTCTTTGGGTCGGCACTCGCCATCCCTTGTCAGCCCTCCATTTTCCCTTTCCTTTTTTCTCACTCCAACTTGTTTGGGGAATTGGATTCAGGCCTAGGTGGCATTGGGATTACTGTTGGACTTTGTCTGCGTCCTCCATTGTTTCCCGTCGTTTCCCGCCTTCTTCCATTCCCTGCTGCTTTAAACCTGTCTAGCTGCAAGCCACTTTCGCCGGAACCGCCTCCGTCAGGAGTCCACGATGCATCTTCAGCTGGCGGCTCTTGACAAGTTGCGTTTTATTAACAGTAGTATCTAAGATTCTCTCGGACAAAGCAGAGTATAATATCCTGGGGATCTCCCCGTGCGGCACAGGCGGCCCCCTTCTCCCTCGTTCTCCTCCCTGTTCCGGCAGCTCGACAATCTGGATTCGGATTACCTGCTTCTCATTTCTTACTATTAATAACTTTCCTTCCTTTTTTTTCATGCGTTATGTAAAAACCTAGAGTTCTCTATTTCTACTGCTATTACCTCGGTGTTCTCAGGCATCTGGAGGGCTTTTCGGGCTTCTTTGGGGTTTGGCTAGGAGAAAGCCATGGCGTGGGCGTACAATACGCCTGACGGTACGCCGAACAATGGGCCAACTATCGCTGCCGTTGCTCTGTCTGTGACGGCGCTGGCTCTTGTCGCGCTGTGTCTGAGAATTTATGTCAGGACGAGGATTGCAAAGGCCGTCGGTCTAGGTACGTATCTAAAAGGGGCCCCTTGGCGATCGTCGCTGCGGCTTCGTTTCTCGGCTCTCTTGCAGGATCCGATAGGCCAGAGGCTAATTAAGGAAACACAGACGACTGGTTAATCATTGCTAGCTGGGTATGCGACCGAATGAACTTTTCCCCATCGATTGCCTCGCCCGGATGGTTTCGAAGGAAAACTCTCGTCTACTGGCTGGTCCACTGACTAGAATTGGGATTGGAAACAGATTGGAGCTTGCGGGTACACTTCAGCAACCATCGTCCGTATGTATATGATATATCCCATTACACAACCCAGCCGAATGTTGTGGATTGGAAGGATCAATTGCTGAACCCCTCCGCAGAAACGAAATGGGGCCTCGGGCTGATTGAACTCGATACGATGCCTGACGAAAATGTCCTCAACTTTGGCAAAGTACTTTCACCCCTGTCCTTTCTTCCCATCGTTTCCATGAATAAGTCATTAAATCCTTCCAGACGCAATATATCGGCGCGCCGTTGTAAGCAAATTCCTCTTTAGGCCCCTCGTGAGAGATACTGTTAGCTCACAACTCCTCTGTCTAACTAGCTATGTTCTTGGGATTTGGGGCTTCAAGACCAGCCTGCTCGTATCCTACGTCCGCTTGGTACCGGGGACGTACCGACTGTTGCCCATCTCGATTGCTGCGATTGTTACAATGGCACATATAGCCTTTATGCTGGTTTTCCTGTTCCTGTGTATACCGGTACGACAAACATCATGAAACGCGACCCCTTTTGTTGAGATGTTGTCTCTGTCAGGGGTGAAAATGGCACCGAATATATCTAACAATATTGAATGACTAGGTCCAGAAGCAATGGGAGCCTCTCGTGCCCGGTCATTGTGCCGATGCCGTTCCCTTTTACCTCACATTCTCGTCTCTGACGATTATCTTTGACGTCATCACGTAAGTTTTATCGCTTCTCTTTCTACACCCACAGCTTCCAGTTCCTCCTAACCTGTGTTGAACAGGCTTGTCCTCCCCTTCCCCGTCCTCATCAAGCTCCAAATGAAGGCCCGTCGCAAAATCGCCCTCCTGTGCCTCTTCGCCCTGGGTCTCTTCGTCACCATTGTCCAAATCATCCGCATCCAAACCATCAGCAACCTGGCCAACTACCTCGACTCCGCCGAAGCCATCAAGTGGTCCATTGTCGAGACGGCCGTCGGAATCATCATTGCGTGCGTGCCCACGCTCGCGCCCCTCGTCACGTACTTTCAGGAGAAGACGCGCAGCGGCGGCAGCAGCAGCAACACGCCGGCCAGGCCCGGCGCAGAAGGCCCTTATGCGCTGCAGTCGTGGCGGGCGACGAAGAGCGGCATGAGGCCCCTGGGCAGCGCCGTTGACGGGGAGAACGGGAGCGAGAAGAGTACGGAGAATATCTTGCAGGGACCGGTAGCTTCGGTGAGCGAGACGAGCGAGACGAGTGAAGGGGCTGGTCCCGCTGCGAGCAGGAGTAACCACTGATGGCTCTATTGTTGCTGTAATACTGCTTGCGGATTATCGAGTACAGGGATAATTGGTTCTACTTTTGTTTGTATTCATGAAAGTCGTCACGATAAGATATAATACCCAAGATACCCCCCTAATCACAGTTGACTATTAGCGGGAATGGTTTGTGCAAGAGGAAAACAGCCAAATCAAGTCAGAATATTCATACAAGACTACGTATATCTAGCAGCTTTCACTCCTGATGCCCTTCTTACACAACCTTGGTATCCAACATGAACACTCAACACTCCAGATTAAGCAGACAGTCATCGTTATGCACATGAATAAAACCCCTGCTTGCCTACAAATAGCCCATCAACTACCCAAATAGGAAAATACATCAATCCCTTTTTCAGTAAGCTCAAAAAAAAACCAGTACCATATACCATATACCAAAAAAAAGAAACCATACACAAGCATGAATAAGATACACTCACAACAAGCCCCCAAACAACAGTCATAAGATCAAACGTCCCCTACGCAATAAACCCAAGCACAACGTAACATCACCGCAAAATAAACCCCACCCCCCTTCTTCCTCTCCCTTCGTATAATCCCAATTACCAAATCCAGTCAACTCGTGAGACGAAACCTCTCCCTCCTGTTCGTAGTACGTACCACACCCTCCATAAACTGATTGGTCGAGTTTCACGCATGGGGTACCGAGAACCGAGAAGGAGAAGAAAAATCTCACATCAGCTGGTTTTGCAGGGAATGCTTAGCACCGTACAAATTAGGTAAAAGCAACAAGTCAAGGGAAGCAAAAGGAAGAAAAAAAAACGAGTGTGTAAAATTCAAACCCAGTGTCATGTGCAACCATAGACAAGGGGAAGTCTCACAGCCTCAAGCGCAAGCACACACACACACACAGGGGGAAAAAAGAAGAGAAAACAAAACCAACATGTAGATCAAGTGAGTGATCTTATTAAGATAAAGTAGTAGTAAAACAGGGTAGCTAAAAAGGGACTGTGAAAAGGACTAAAAAGGTCGTTTCGCATCCTTAAAGCGCGAAGGGAAAGAAGTTTTTTTGGATCTTGGGATAACATTTTTTAACTAATAAGGTAGTAATAGTTATGTCCACATCTACCGCATTACAAAAGCGTCTCCGTCATCATCAAACACATCTCTTGGGACACGTCCGCCGTGCCCTGGGTATGATTTCATCACAAAGCTGCAGAGGTAGACCATTACCTGCAGCCGTCCACCCCACCGCGTAATAAAGGAAATTGTAAATAAAAGGGGAAAAAAAGAAAAAGGAACAAACACCTCCTGTATCCAAATCGAAGCAGGAAACGCTTAGACCTCAACGGTAGCCTTCTCAATGTACTCACCAGCGCCCATCTGGGCAGCGAAGGTGGTGGTAGGCTTCCACTTGGCAGAGGTACGGGGGGTGGTCTCCTCCATCATCTTGTCGACCTGCTCGAGGGACAGGCCCTTGGTCTCGGGGATGAGGAAGTAGGCGTAGACGAAAGCGCAAGTGCAGAGGCCTCCCCAGATGAAGAAGACGGACGACTTCAGGTTGCCCTTGTCAGTGCCGACCATGTAGGGGGTGATGACGGTGATGATGGTGTTCCACAGCCAGTTGGAAGCGGTGGACAGAGCAACACCACGAGATCGGATAGGCAGAGGGAAGATTTCACCAATGACAATCCAGGCACCGGGACCCCAGGTGGAGGCGAAGAAGAAGATGAAGATGGCGATGAAGGCAATCTGGGCGTTGACAGCAGAAACGTTGTCGGCCAGGCCGGAGGTAGGGTCGCTGGGGTTGGGGTGGGTCTTGTTGAAGCCGACAGTGACACCGATGATGGCGACGATGAACTGGCAGATGAGCATACCACCGGCACCCACGATGAGGATGCTACGACGACCGAATCGCTCAACGGTCCAGAAAGACAGAGGGGTGGAGCAGACGTTGACCAGGGAGAAGATGAGGGAGATCAAGAAAGAGTTGCTGATGGCACCGGTGGACTGGAGGAAGGGAGTGGAGTAGTAGAAGATGAAGTTGACACCGGTCCACTGCTGCATCATCTGGAGAGAGGTACCGAGGATGGTTCGTCGCAGGTTAGACTTGCCGGTCCACAGAGAACCCTTGAAGCAGTTGGCCCAAGAGCCGAACCAGGTGGTGGAGGGGATGAGGGCACGCTCGTACTCCTCGTTGGCGATAATCTCAGCAAGCTCGTTCTGGACATACTCGGAGTCCTCAGGCTGGCCGCGAACGCGGGACAGGGCGTCGATGGCCTTTTGGATCTCACCCTTCTTGACGAAGTAACGGGGAGAGTCGGGGAGGAAGAGCAGACCACCGCCGAGGATCAGAGCCCAGGGGAACTGGATGGCGATGGGGATGCGGTAGGCACCAGTGTTGGTGTAGTCCTTGGTGCCGTAGACGACGCAAGAAGCGAGGAGGATGCCGATGGTAATGCAGAACTGGTAACCGGCGACAAGGGCACCACGGACCTTGCGGGGGCACTGGGAGAGGCAGCAGGGTTAGCAGCCGGAAGGGAACGAGCGGGCAGAAGCACTGTGTCCAACTTACAATCTCAGACATGTACAGAATGACAATGGCAGACTCGAAACCGACACCGAGACCAGCAATGAGACGACCGGCGACAATGGGGCCAAGAGCGTGATCGGGAGAAGTAACCATCTGGATAATGACACCGATCATGTAGATGAAGCAGCCGATGATGACGGTCCACTTTCGGCCGATCCAGTCGGAGACGTCACCAGCAATCAGGGCACCGAAGAAGGTACCGCAAGACAGGATGGAGGTGATGAGGGAGGTATGGGGGTCGGTGAGCTTGGTAGCGGCAGCACCCTCGACAGCCTTGTAGAAGATGGCGGAGCCGTTGACACCGTTGATGTAACCGGAGTCGTAGCCGAAGAAGATGCCACCAAAGGAGGCAAAGGCGCACATGAGGTAGGCCTTCCATGTGATGGGAGCCTCGATGTGCTCGACATCCTGGGTAGTGTGGATGCCGATGGAGTGCTTTCGCGCCTCCGCGTTGGTTTCGGGGGCGTCGGACATGGCGTCGAAGTTGGGGATTGGAATCTTCTGAGCTCAGTTCTTGGTGTTTGCTGAAGAGGAATGGAAGAAGAAAGAGGTTGACCCGGGCCGAGTGAACGGAACGAGCTCTTATTGAGTGAGACAGAGATCGACGAGGCAAGACAGGAGAAGGAGGGAAGGGGCAGGCGGCAGGCCGGCCTTTTTATTGTCGTGTCGTGACGGTAGGCCAGAGAGTTTTCGGTCACTCAGTCACAGGCAGGTAGGCAGGCCGAACCTAGAACCCAGAAAGAGGCGGCGGCATCGTCCAAGAGACTCCATGGTGGAGAGGCGCCGTCGATTTGGGGAAGCTTGGGCGTTGCGTAGAGAGAGAGAGAGAGGCTCTCGGTCTCGCACGCCCCTCCAGGTTCTGGATTTGCAGCGACCAGGGAGGGGGTGAGAGATTGGCCGATGGACGAAGCATCGACATGGGAACGGGTACCTCGACTGCGCAGCTGTTTGTGTGCGAGTGCAATGGCTGGCTCATGTTCCTGGACCGTCTCGTCTCGTCTCGACTAGGTACGAGGTTGCAGTGGGCTGGTGGATGGCGGATTGGTGGAGGCAAAAAAAAAGAGACGGCCTGGTGTGGCGCTCGGCCTCACCCACATGCTATTCTCCTAGCCTGGCGCCGCATCCCGCCTAGCGTTTGGGGCCAGCGGTCGGGTCTGGCCTAGCGCTCGGCGTGCTAGCACAGCACAGAGTTTTAAGGCCTTGCAGCGCTGAGCTTACAGGCACCGCAGCGACTCGGGCTCACTGAAAGGTGCAGGTGCAAATTTTACAGTTGGGTCGAGTGGCGATTGCAATGCGCGTATTGATCTCGTGCAAGTCACGAGGCCAATCTGGGTTCGCATCAGGTCAGGTCGAGAGCTGAGCTTTGCTTTGCTTTGACGGCATTCTCCGAGTACGAGTACACGGACGGACGGGACAGCAGCAACAGGTGATTGATTGGTGCACGCGCTCATCACGAGCCAGGCCAACAGAGCATTGATGTACGAGTACATGTACATACGAGAGAGCGACTGACTGCAACCTGCTAAGCTTGGTAGTAGGTGGTTTCCCATGCCTTTGCACGTCGGAACCATGCCGCCAGCGCTGTGCTGTGCTGTGCTGTGCTGTAGCAGTACGAGTACATGCACCTGAGCAGAAGAATTGAAAGAAAAAAAAAAGAAACTCAGCCACAGGTACACACCCCTGAAAAGAGTAAGAAAAAAAAAGGGGGCCGGGGTGGGTGTGGCGCCGCACGCGAGAAGCAGGCATTGTGGCAAGGCACCACATCTCAGGCAAGGGGCCGCGAAAGGAGATTGAGGGGCCCCCCCTGGCTCTCCATTTGCGCAGCTGGCCAGACGCGTCTGGGGAAGCCCGCATGGGGATTTGCGGGGCCCGGAGGCTTCTGAGCTACGAAGTACCGCCGACGCAGCCCAAAGACGGCGGCGGGCGCTGATTGGCCGCGGGCTGGGCCATGGGCTGGACCCCTAGCCAGACGAGGCAGAGAAGCGCCGAGAAGGGCCGGCTGGGGGTCTGGCTGCGGCCTTTTGCTTGGCTGGAGGCGCGAATTGGCTCTGCTGCTCATGACTCCTGCTTGGGAAATAGTCTGGAGTCTGGTCTGGCGGTGATTTGAAATTGGGGTACATACGAGCACATGCATGCACGAGTACACACTCGGCACCACACACGGCTTCGTATTTTGGATTTCAGCAGCGAATCTGGACATCAATGCTTACAGGTACAGTACGGTTCTCTGGTGGCTGCCAGTTACATTACATTGTTACCGGTACGTGCTCGTACCATTGAGATGGTGGAGAGGCGCCGGCTCGGGCACTAGCGTCGATGGATGGCTCTTGCTTGACTTCAATTCTCTTGTGCATTCATTTGATCCAATACAAGTCCATCCTGCCAAACTGCAAAGGGCAAGGCTCCGTTATTATGGAAGTCACCA